CGGAAGAGAGATCGAGTATTTAAAAGTGCTCGAGTGTACATTATATCAAAGCGAGGGGCTAATGTACGGCAGCTATATAAATCGCAGCAGATAATAAACAGAATAAAAAGGAAATAATAAACGTACAGTTATGCATATTTAATCAAGCCGGATTTCACGTATGCGGCCATTGAGATAACAGAAATTTAGGTCTCAAATAAAATCGTCTAACCTCGAGTCTTTCCGTTGCTTTGAGCAGTCGGTCATAATCGACGCTACCCTGTACCGAGAGAAGCTCCATCATATAGTCGGCCTCCTGCACCGATTGCTGCACAATCTCCAACTGCTTTTCGAATCTCCGCCAGAGCGTCAAGCGGCTCCTGAGAGAGCCCAGAAGTTTCACGCATCGCGCCTCGAGAGATACGTGCTTATCCTGTAGGCCAGAAATATCGCGCTCTACGCCGACCGGCGATACAGAAATGCGCGTAGCCATTGGGAGAGTATGCAAGAGTTGCCTTAAGCTCATGATTTCTTGCCAAAGCTGGACGAGGTCCTCGGTGATGGCCTGGCAGCGCTCGACCGCTGCGGCCACGGTTTCGCAACATTGACGCTCGCTGCTCTCGAACTGGTCTAGGGTAAGCTCGTGACGCTCGTGAATCTTGCGGACACGGTCAATGCCACGTCTCAGGCTCTGAAGTCGCTCGCGCAGTAGCTGAGCGGCCTCGAGCTCCTCGCCGATTTGCCCTTCGAGGCGACGGCCCGTCGACAAGAGCGTACCTACGCGTTCGCTCTTCGCCGCCGGGAGTAGGCCCAATCGGCCCAGCTCGTCCTGCAGAAACGACAGTGAAAATGCTTTTATTATCGGTACTTATTGCTATTTCTATTGCCAATATCTTCATTCGTTAGCTATGTGCCAATGTGTAACGAAGCGAGACATTTTATCCAATGTCGAATGCCGCGTTATCACTTTACATTGACATTTACTAAGTAATGTATTACAATATCCATTTTTATCAATTTATATGAAAAACGATAAAAATCGACAATAATTAGATATAATATTTTTAAGAAAAGTATATGTCAATTCTGAATCCAGAAAATAAAATGTCAATTCTTTAATACACGAATCGGTGTATTGTACGTACGTAAATTTTAATATACCGGTTGTGCATATCAGAATTTAGTAAAGTTAAATTAAATTACAAAAAATAAAATGAGATTCTTCTTACGGAAAACTTTACAAATCCTCAAACTGTAATTGTTATTTAATTCATAATTTAGTATCAAATATCTCAATACTAAGAACAAACCAATAAATGCACAAGGAAACAGAGATAAAAAAATTTAATCGTTCAATGATTTTCGAATCAATTAAATTTGTATTCTAACGTACTTTTTCTAAAATAGTCAATATATAATTAATTATACATAAATAGAGCGTAATTGTAGCATATAAATATTTTTATTATTTTGATTCTTACACATATAATTAAGATTTCATTTTATATGTTAATTTTATATATTAATCATTATATATTTATAACTTTTAATAATATACATGATATTTAACATTGAATATGTGTTCTATATGATAAAATTATATATATATATATATATATATATATATATATATAAATTGTGAGTAAATATGAATAAATTTGGTATTTATAGGTATATTAATTAAAATCTTAATTATATCATGTCAATAAAAATTATAAGTATCCAATTTATCAAGTGAATTTCTACTAAAAGTTGTATAAGTATAATATATTTTAAGTTATTAGCTAATGATATTTGAATTTCACGCGAAAAATTAACGATTTATAATTAAGATTATAAAATCATGGCATTAATTTTTGATAATTAAGAAAAATTTAATAAAGATATTTTTATAAATTATTTTTATTTGTAATTTTAAAACTAAAACATCGTTAACATCGTTTCCCAAGCTAATATTTTACTGAATTAGTATTATTATATCATAACAATAGTAATTTTTTATTTTTTCTTCTTCTCTTTTTTAAATTAAACTATATACCTCTCTACATACTTTATCCTTAATTTATTAAATTTGAATATATTAAATGAGAAAATAATATTATTAACTGTCGAATTTATATGCACAAAAGCCATTAGAATATATTATAATCGATAGTTTTACATACCAATATAGCTTATTGAAATGAGATAAAATAAAAATGCAAATTGCGCGTCTAAAAATTAATGGGAAACTGTTAATTCTTTAGTGATTTGCTATGTCATTGTACCTGTATTATATATGTACGTTCGAATAAAACTGAAAGTCTTTCAACGTATAATTCTAATTCTTCTTCTGTTTTTATGACACCATGAAACTCGTTACTCGTCGTTCGCAGTTCGTATAATTCTTTTTCGAGTAGATTTAATTTTTCATCGACTGGTACGTCTTCGGATGACATGTTATTTTTAACAATATCTTGTATATTTTTTAGTTTTTTGCTTACGCTATTCCAGCGTTTTGTCATTTCTTCGTGAATTTGCCGCTGAACCGTTTCATCGAATAATAAAACAATACAAAGAGCCTGTTCAAAACAATTATCTGCTTCATTGCGCATGTTATTGTATACTTCATACTGAGCTTTTATTTCCTAGACAAAAGAAATTTTGTAATTATTGGTTAAGAAATCCGACATTCGTATATTTAAGAGACAAGCAATATATAGCATTCTATTGGTAAATAGAGTAAAATTTTATTTTTTACATAATGTTATGCAAATAGTTTGTTAGATTCTTTTGTACTGATGCATACATATAATATATGTGTGCACAATAGAATTTGCAAATACATTAACAATTAATGAATATATGATAAATGAATACATGCTAAGAGTTTAAAATAATCTGCTTATTTATTAGTGCTTTTATTCACAAAAGTGTATCATAAATATGAATTTTATTGTAATTGGCACCTCTTAAATTCTGATTTTATTTATAAAATTTTTTTATCGCTTTAGCGTGAAATAATTACATAAACTCTATTTAATAAACTGCTAAAATTAAATATTCATACTTCTTATATAATAATACGTGCTAATAAATGATTAATAATAAACTATTTTTAAATTTGTCATTCAGATGTTATTTTTAAATAAATTATATTTATAAATATAATGAAAAATTAATTTGCCATAGTATAGGCAGATATATAAAAAAAAAAAAAAAAATCAGAAATAAAAATTGTTTAAATGAATCTTACCCAAAATTGTCGCATATGCCCATCGCTTGGATCATCGACTAAAGTAAGTTCTCTTTCAGCTCTAGACATCCAATTTTCAAGTCTATTAACCAATATTTCTTGATTCGTCCAGCTTTCGCGAAAGGCTACCAGACGTTTGAGCGATGAATCAACTTTTTCTTGAAGTTTTGTTATCTCGTCAAGTACATTCCCATAACGATCGTCGGAATCCTCGATGTCAATTAGATTTTTAAGGTTGTGAGCCAAATCTAACAATTGAATCAATCGAACACGATGATTCGCTATATCCAATGATAAATTCTAAAAAAAAAAGAACATTATTATTCTTTTATTCATAATGCCATTGCATATAACGATATATATATATATATATATATATATATATTATAAAAATGATCTTTTTAATTGAGCTTTTTTCTTTTTTCTTTTTTTTTAATAATATAATTATTATGTCGTTATACCAAATTATTATACGTATTTTTTTAATTTGATTTTTATGGAAATTAAATTATTAAAAATTTATTATAACAATAATAATAGCTTAACTTTTTATAGTATTTATTATAAGTTTATAGTTTTATTTTATTATTTCATGATCGAAAGTAGAGCTTTGAGTGATTACTTTAAATACTGAAATACATTCTATTAAAAAATATTAAGACAATTAAACAATTTAAAAAAAAAAAGCAAGTTTTATCCAGAAAGTATTTTTAAATGATACGTAATTTGTAATAAAAATAATAAACCATGTCATTTACATTATTTTTATATATTTCTTTATATATTTTAGTTAATAATGCATATTAATTGAAAATATTCATTAAAATAATGTTTTATTATTTGGAAGATGAATAAATTAATGCTTAGAAAATCATCGATTACGTTACCTGATATAATGATATGTATTGTTCATAGTCAGTTGATGTGACATTTTGCAAATCAGGAATCCGTTGATGTGCAACTTGAAGCCATCTTTTTTCTTCCTTAATTCCTTGCTCCAATACCACCCATCTGGAAGCCGCCAAAGACATTTGTTGAGCTTTCGATGACGCTTGGTCCAACAATGAAATAGCTTTATCGTGTAATTGCGTGTGAAGTTCTGAATATTTTTCTTTTGTTTCAGCATCTAAATTATCATCCAGTGATTCTAAAATAGCTCTGCAATAATTTAAGTTGATAAAGAACTTTCTATGTCTCTGTATTTCATCTCGTAGGTGTTCTAAACTCATAACTGATATTGGACTTTCAACAAGATGTTCCGCAATTTTTGTAATTTGAGAAAATTCATGTAAAGTTTGTTCGTATTCCTCTATAAGAGCTAATAGTTGCAAAAGTTTTTCCCTTTCAACCGCTATAGTATGTTCAATATATCCCATTATATCTTGCGTTGCATTCAATTCTTGAGGAATTTCTTTATCAATATCATCACGTAACAACTCTTTTATTTTTAAAAATATTTTATTTATCGTTTCTATATTATTCAAATTTATATTCTCTATTTTATCCAATTCTTCAAGTTTCGAAGATATTGAAATTTCACTGTTTATTATGTCATCTAATTCTTGTTTTTGCTTCTCAACAATTCTGTAACATGACAACAAATATGTAGTTTGCACATAAAGATTATATATATATATATATATATAGAATTTATTCATAACAAATATGTATATATATATATATATATATATATATATATATATATATATACATATTTTTTTTTTTTTAATGTGAACAAAAGCATTTGACTTTTATTAAAAATTGTTATAGTTAAATTAGATTTACTAATTGTTCATAATTGAAAGAATATATAATTTTTAATATAGTAATTAAAAATATGATATAACGAAAGTTTTACTAACCTTACAATATCATTTACTTCGTTTAAGAATTCATTCCATTTAGTGATTTCTGATGTAGCGCATGTTTCCTCGTTTTCAGCTACTTCTTCAATTGCCACGGCTTGTGATTTCAATGCTTGGATGTATTGCTTAAGTCTTTCACGTTCTTTTTGAGGATAATTATTTTCCGTCGCATTCCAGATATTATTTAATTCGTGGATGTTTTTCCTTATATGATTCATTTCATTCTTATATTCGACTGCATCTATTTTGTTTTGAGACGGATCTATCAGGGATTCCTTATTTATATATATTTTAGATTCAATATTTTCCAACCAAGTTGAGAGTGTTTCAACTACGGCAACGAAAATTTGTTCAATTATCGTACTATTATTCTGCTCTACAGCTTCTTTTAATACTTCCAAGTCTTTGGGCATTTCTAATATTTGATTTTCACTTAATTTCTCGGGAACTGCTTTTTCCAGTTTAGAAATATGTAATATATTTGGAAAAAGTGTACGTTGTTTTAAGCCTTGCGATTCTTTATCTCGAGTGAGCATTAATTTTGTATTTTCAGTTTTCTGGATTATGCTATCTTTTGGATTTCGTATACATTGCACATTCGGATTAGTTAAAGGATTGATATCGACATTTTGAATTGCAAAATTTTTATCATTATTTCTTTCCCAATCTGTGAGCTTACGAAATTCAACATTTTCATCGTCATTTGATTTGATGGGATCGGCAATTTTTATTTTTACATCTTCTGTACTTTTTGTTAGTAAATTGGATTGTTGGTTCGTATATGAAGATTCTGGTTCGGTCATTACACATATTTTATTGTCGTCGTTTCTTTGAGTGAAAATTATTTTCTTAGGATTTTTGTCTACAGTATCTAAATTAAAATCATTAGAGATTGATGTATCTTTATTAGATATTTTGGATTGGTCAAAATATAAATCCAATGTTGGGTTTTCATTAGATTGAACAGAGTCATTTTTTTCCACAGTTTTATTTCTATGTCTCTTTCTTTTCTGCCGTTTAACTTTTAATGATTCTTCTTTACTAGGTTCTTCCATTGTAGATGCATCTTGAGATGTTAAATCTGTGGTAGGACTATCGCATATGTCAACAGTGGCTTGAATTTGTATTTCAAATGAAGATTCGGACATAGAACTAACATCTTGCAAAGATTCTAAATTTTGTGAGTCATTTAATGTAGATTCAGATGGCTTTGCGGATATGGTTTCTATTTGAGGAGATAATTCAAAGTTTTCCGAAGTAAGTTGAAGAGTTTCTTCTTTATTGTAATGCTCATCAGATTCAAGTGATAATTTATTTTCTATATTTTCCAGTGGTAAGCTTTCAATTTCAGATATTTCCAAAGGTATTATTGAAATGCTTTCAATTGTTTCACTTTCTGCTTTATCAAATGGCAAACTCGGTATCTGAACTGTTTCCAAAGATGTTGTAGGCATTTCCTGTTCCATTTTATTTTGAATAATCGGCAATTCAGTATTCATATTTTCTTCAAACTCAGGCGGTTGGATCGGTACCTCTCTATTTTCAAATATTTTTATATCCACATTGGTAGAAATTTCTTCTCCGTTTGAAATATTTTCTGGTATAGAATAAGATAATGATTCAGGTACATCTTGAACTAATTCATTGATTTCTATTTCTACTTCTTTGTTTTTACAGAATTCTGCATTTTCACTCGGAAGATATAGTGACGTAATTTGTGAACTGTCATTGGATGGATCGACATTAATTAGCAGACCCTGTTCGGTATTTGGTATCAATAAATTTGATTTTATTTTCGTTGTCTCAGGAGGGGTTATATTTCTATTAATAAATTTATTATCTTGAAATTCATCTTTATTTATTGCGATTGATTTGCTAATATTTGTCTGTAATGGCGATTCATCAATTTTTGATAGATGTAGGTCTTCAATGGGATTGGTTTGAGTCATAATTCCTACTTGTTCAGTAGGAATTGTTTGTATTTGACATTCTCGAGTATCTAATTTTAATATTGTTTGAGATTCAGCATTATTTAATGCCTCGTTATTTAGCCAATCATTTTGTGCATCAACATCTCGTTCTTTTGAAAGATTGCGTGGACTGAACTCATTAGTTTGTATAGATTTTTCTGTCACTTCGACTAATGGGACTTCCGTTGTCTGTATTGTCATTTCTTTCATAACTTTTTCAGGTATACTTGTCATAATTTTTTGTGGTTCTTCATCAATTTCAAATTCAGTTGTTATTCGATCATTCGATGTTTCTAAAAATAATAAAATTATTCTTTAACAGTGTAGGGATATTCATGTTGATATTTAATTGTAATATAATTTTTGTTTATATACATTTTAATTTTTTTTTTAATTTACTTTAATTTTATACTAAAAAGAAATTTAACTATTTTTAAACTAAATTTGAATATTTATATATAGAAATATCTTAGGATAGATAATTTTAATTAATATACATTTAATTGAAATTTTTTTTTTTTTATAAAAAATCCAATCCAATGTCTTTATTAGATTTAAGATAATTTTATACGATTAATGATACAAATGTGTGTCGATATTAAATTACCAGTAATTAATAAGGACTGATGTTTTACCTGTTGTTAAGTTTTGTTCGACAGGCAATGTTTGTATTTCTATGTTTTGTAGTTTAGTCATTATTGTTTGCGTATCTGCTTCTAATAAAGTGGGAGAGTTTTGTTCTCTTGGAGTTGTTTGAAGTGCAATATCTTCGGTTTGGATAATATTATAAGTTTGCATTGAAGTATTATTAATGTCTGGCATGATGTCTACTGGCGTTTGTAAGATAATATCAGCTGTAGAGTATGGCGATGTTTGTGTTTCAGTTTCTACTTCTTGTTTTAATGTTTGTATTTCATATTTGGATTTATCAACATTATCTAATATTTGTGATGCATTTATTGCATTTATTTGGTCTTTTGACATTATTGGAATCGCTTTGGAAGTGGATGCTTCACAGGATTCACTTGCAAATTGACTATCATCTTCATTCACTGTATTATCACTTAATTCCGGAAAAACATCATCACTGCTACATATTTCAATGTCTCCCTTCTTTCTTTTTCGTTTCTTTGATGATTTTTTTATTATTTTAATTTCTTCTTTTTTCATATATTCAGCTTCATTTTCTAACTGAAATTCACTACCCATTTCTTTAGATGATTCAATATTATCGTCTTTTGGTAGTCGAGCCTTTTGTTTTTTCTTTTTCTTTTTCTTTTTCTTACCGGTATCGATTTCAGATGCTGGGAGCACCTCTTCGACAGTTGTTCTTTGATCTGCTTCGTAACCATCTTCGACAAAGGTCTCTTCTTTCTCTGCTGAAAAAGTATCGGATGATTCGTCAATTTCAGGAATATCAAGGTCAGGTTGATGCGTTACGTATTTTAATACATTAGATTGTACTTTATCAATATCAGGTGCATTTATTATATTAGGAGCAACTGGCGAAACACTAGATTCTTCGTAAGTTATGTGTTCGTCCTTTATATTTTTTAAATGCTTCTTCTTTTTGGGTACATTTGCGTCACTCGTCTCAAATACTTCTTCTAAAATTTCAGTGGTTTTTATATTTTGTACAACTGGTAAGAATGCAGAAATAGTTGCTTCGGGAGATGATGAACGAGTTGTAACTTTACTACTGCTAATGAATTCAAGACTTTCCTTTTCAACAGGCACTATAATATTAACACTTTCATCAAACACGTTTAAAATATTTTCTTCGGCCCTTTTGGCATGTGATTCGACAGGCAACAATAATTTGTTATTTAATTCCTCTTTATTATTTACCGGTAACAAGACATCAATCGTTTGTATACTTTCAGAGGCTGTAGTATCTGGAATAATTTTACAATTATCGTCAATAGTTTCAATCATTGATTCCTGATTTTTTGAACTTTTTTCTCCTAATGTATATGGCTCTATAGATTGATATTGTTGTTTGTTTTCATCTAATAGCTTTATTGCGGTTACGCTGTCCATTAAATGTTCTTCATTCTCTTCATTAACATTGCCATCTTTCTGTGGAGTATCAGTAAAATCTGACTGGAAATCATCGTCAACGTCTACTGTGCATTTATTAATAAAGTCAGTGTGCTCTTTATCTAAATCTACTGTGCCAGATTCTAATGTATTATCAGGTGTTTTGGAAGATGTTCCTTCTAATCTATCTTCAAACTTACAATTAGCTTTTGATATTGCTGGTGTTTTCTCAATGGTTGTTGATACTAATGAAGACACGTTTTTCATTACTGACTCCGAGGATTCATCAACGGGAGTCTGTAAAATTTTATGTTTTTTAGACTTCACTAAGTTCTCATACTCTATAGATAAAAAATTTTGTTTTGGAATTATTACCTCGATTAGTGGTTGTTTTAATTCGCATTTCTCTTCTGAAAATAGTTTATTCTGATCGATATTTTCTTTATTATCAATTGTGCTTGTAGATTTGGTATTAAATGATTTTTCAGCAAGTTCAGCTTCCGGTAAATGCATTTTATCTTCATTTGTGTAGGCTTTTTCAAAGTTCAATGAATCGTCAATGGTATCGGGGCTTGATTTCGATATTTCCTTTTGTGATTTTTTTGATGTTTGTTGTTTTTCCGGAATTATTTCTGCATATGTAGATTGCATTTCTATATGAGGCTTTTCAATTACAATATTTGATGGTGAAATATCTGTTTCGCGTGATTCACTATCAATCTCTACTTTAATAGTTTGAGTGTTTACGTCATTTCGATTGTCTTTATTTTTATTTAATATATCTTTCAAACTATCATCACTATCAAATGTATCTTGCTTGTCGCTTTTAATAACATTAATACTTATATGTGGTATGTCCTGTTCATCAATTTCCACTTCCTCTGGTTCTTCAACAATCTCTTCACTCGTCACTTCTTTACCATCGATAATAGTAACTTTTCTGATAATACGTCGTGTTTTTCTAATGACTTTTCTTGTTACTTGTTGCACTACCGCATGTACTGTGGATGTTTTTGTACGATATTCTGGATTTTCTGAAACGGCTTGGTTAAATTCAGGTATATTTGGATTCAAAGTCTTATTATCACTTTGTATTATTTGATGAGAAATTTCTGGAGAACTTTGATATTCTTCAATGTGTAATTGATCACCAGGTGCTCCAGTTACTAATTTACTCCCGTATGATTGTTTTGTTTCCATTTCAATAACTCCGTCAGCTTTAGTCCTAGTCATTGTAAGCTGTTGTCCTTTCATTGTAGCCTCGGAAAACGCCTGAACTACAGAAGGTCCGTCACCTAATTTAGTAGATAATTGTGAAACATGTTGTTTTACTGTTTGCCTATTAGTAATAAGCGTTCGACGAAGTTTACGCACAATAATCCTTTTTGTGCCATCACTATCTACAACGACTTCTGTCGTAACATCATCTGGCTCCATAAGAACTGTTTCAAATGACTGAGGAGCAATATGTTGTATATTCAATTCAGAGGTTACGTTTTCTTGTTTTTGTGCATCTTGATATTTCATATCAACTACGATGTCATCAGGATCTATATTTTGCATCTCATGCTGTGAATAATCTACATTCGATGAAGGTAAAATATTTTTAGTTGCAATTTCAATAACGTCGTGATTACCATCTGTAATTTTAAGAATTTTTATACTTTCTTGAATTTGTGTATTTTTCGGAAGTCCTGGGTTTTTCGGATGAACTGTGCTTTCAGAAGTCTGACAAGCCGTAGAAATTGGTATAGGCGTTGATATATTCTTAGTTAATGATTCTTGTTTTGGTTCATAAATTACTATATCCTGAATCAAGCTTTGTCCTGTTTGTAGAGAAACATCTGCTAATGATGGTGATAAATTTTCAAATGAAGAATGAATCGATGATACTCGGTCTAGCGTGGCTTCGGTACTATTTGTAGTTTCGATCTGAGCCAATGGCTCATTTTCGTCGACCATCAGCTGAAAAAAGATTTTAAAGTCTTAGATGACGAGGCATGAAGAGTGCAGAAATGCAAGATGCTAGTTTAAAATTAGCAATGAAAACACTTGAGGCGGCATAAAGATCAGTTCGTAAGTGAGACGTTTAAATTTAGAAGATTCCGTCAATCGATTTATGCTACTGACATTTAAGGATTGTAATAAAATCATACAGGTATTAAATCTATATATCTTTATAATTGTAGTAACTTTATAAAGAAAGATGATTATTGTTGTAATTAAATATCATGATTAATTTAACAATACTTTAGAAAATGCAATGTGCTTAAGAAGAACATTCAAATATCGATTAAAATATCTGTAGCCAATAAAATTATTCGTTCAATTTTTAACTTTATTTTATCTTCTTACTAATGTAATACCTCCATTTAAAGTCATAATTAAATAATCAAAAATACACGATTTTTTATTCAAAATATAAAATATTCATAGTAAATTTTATATATATGAAAAATATATAGAGGTATTCGATAAATGTGATGCATATGTGCTATATATTTTTAAAATAGAAATTTTAGAATGACTAATAAATGTAAAAATATAAGTTAACGTTAAATATTATATGTTTCTGTGATAAATATCGGTGAAACGAAATTTTGGAAAATGCAAAGAATAGTTTTTTTTTTTGTTAAATAAATATATTAGAATACACGATAAATGTAATATTAATAAAATAAGTTACTGTAATTATATATTTTTCAAAATACTATTGAAATGCTTTAAATTAACTATAATATGTTTAAACATCTAAAGAAAAAGTTAATACTAACTTCAAGTATTTTTTATGCACAAATAATCAATATTTGGTGTAATGCTGTATTTCTACGTTTTAAAAATAAAAAACTTTTATTTGTTAATATTTTGGATATTTATATTTTGATACTTATAAAGTATTTATATATGTACATATGTATCACAAAAAGTTTTTTCGACAGTCAATAATAAATTATAAAATTTTTTATTTAATTTAAAAAAAAAAAATGAGATTAATTTTTTATTGGTTCGCTAATTGTAACGTACAGTCAATATAATATGATTAACATATACATTTGTCTTAGATCAAAATAAAGATAAATAGAAATAAAATGACGTAGGAAAATAGCGTAGATCTCTTTAATAAGGTAGCATTTTTACATTACAAAGATATTTTTAAGTATACACAACTGACATATTACATAGTAGTTTTACAATATTAATAATTATTTGTAAGAAGTCTGTAAATTAAAAATTTCTAAGTAAGGCAAAACAAAGTATTTTGCTGAAAGTAATTAAAGGGAGGAAAATAAGGGACATATTTGAAAGTAAATACCATTTTATAGTTATAAAACAAATAATAATGATGCCAATATGTAATGAAATATGTAATGAATTTATGAAATGTAGAAAAGGAAAAATACTGATTTTATATATATATATTAAGTGCACTTGTATTTACTTTATAATTTGATATCGAAAAATGGCATAAATAATACTATAATAAGTATATAAAATTTTTTTGCCATTATAATGGTAATGATAAGGACAATGATAACATTAATGATACTTATAATAATGATAATGATGACGTTAATGATAACTATAATAATGATAATAAGGGTAATGATGATTTTAATGATATTGTTTCTATTTATAAATTTGTCTAGAATATAATCCTAATCGAATTAATATAAATATCTTTTAGCAAGAGTTGATTAATTTTTTTAAAAATTCTGAATTCTTTTACTTTATAGAAATTATCTATCTATATATATATATATATATATATATATATATTTATTTATTTATATATATTTCAATTAGATAAATCATATGAAATGTTCATACTGTATTTTTTGTAGTAATATAAAAATAAAAAAAAAATATTAATGCTCTATCAATAATTATAAGGAAAGTTAAATCCAAATTAAAATTTAATCTGTTTAAACTTAATACAGTATTCATAATTAAAAAATACGTATTGAAATATGACTAATATTCTCTTAAATTTATAAAATTAAAAAAAATAAATTGTCTATTAATAATTATTCAGATTTTAGTAATTCGCGTAAAATGAATGTTTTTAATGAATGACTTTATACATCAACCAATTACACAACTAAAATGAATTATTTCTAATCATTGAATTATGGAAGTGTCCGTGGTTAGGGACAGGAGATTTCGTGCAATGTTTTCATATTAAGCAAGACCCATCACCCTTGCATGGTGAGTTGTAACAATGTAAGTTCCCAAATTCTGGTGTTTGATGTATACCTGCAACTTCAGCAAAACGTGATTTGCCATATCTTGCAAGTCTTCTTTTAAATTTTTAGCTAACATTTTAACTTCTGCCTTGGATTCTAAGTCAGTTAAGCACTGTAGACGAAATAATATTTCCTCCTGTAGAACCTAATAATATAAAATAATTCTCTTAAATTAATGCAATAAAATAATATAATTATTAATTATCATTATTGGATTACTTAATCTATCAATAGTATAGAAATTTTTTAATTGTTGATTTACATACTTTTAAAATGTGTCAAATGCTGTTTAATTATTAATAATAATTTTTTTAATAATTTTCCGTTACATTGATCTCAAAGAAATCTATTTCATTAGTTTGAACAATATCTTAACAAGTTTATGTATTAAAAGAGAATTTTATGTGCGGATCAAGTTTGACCGATTTGATTACACCTTTTTCCTTTTGAAATAAATACGTATTATTAATATTATTATTGCTAAATATAATGCGAAACCAAAGACTTATCTTAATGATTATTTAAATATATATTCCAAATATGCAAAATCGGACATGGTTTTATTCAAGAAAAAGTATTAGATAGTTTTATGTTAGTTCAATCATATGATAGTTCAATGCCCCTTAAATGAGATAAAACATTGATAAAATCCTATATAAAGTGAAAAGAGAAAATCAGATCAATGTTAGTCTAAAGTAAAAAAGAATTTATTCATTTAAATAAAAAATAGTTGCAGTATTGGAAGATTCAAACGAATAAATTTAAAATTATTCTAAATTTACTTTTACAATGAATATATGAATCTAATGAGTGCAATTTTGTAAATGGTAATAACAGTTTTTCTATGATTATCGTTAATATTAACTACAGTTTTAGCAGTAATTTAATCTTATAGAAAATCTTTATTACATATAAATATAGATTACTTACATATTGTGACATAAAAAGGAAAATGTTCGTATAAATATATCTTATAATGCTTATAATTTACTTAGAATGATTTTAAAGATGTTGTCAGCGATGCAGAATTTAAAGAAGGTAATATTTATATAATTGACTCAGATATATGACCTTGATTATAAAAATAAACTTATAACCTTTAAAGTATTAACAAAGTATCTGTAATTCACGAGCAGGTGAATTGTTAAGTATTAATTATATTTTATATTTAGTATTTAAAGTTATCTTTGACACTTATTCAAATATATTATTTTATTTACAAACATTTAATATTAATATTTACTTTTAATGAAAACCCTCAAATTTTATACAGATCTATTCGAACTTCTAAATACGCAATATATATTTTACATATTTTTAAACGTTCAAATGTATTTCAATTGCATTTTCTCTGTTACAAAGTTTCGAAAGCAATATAAATAACTAGTTGCTTAAATTATTAGCAGCATTAAGAATTGCTACACAAAATATAATATATTTTTATCATTATGAATTTGGTTAATATATATACCGATATACGAAATAATTTCATAACTACTTGATGTGGATGTGTGTGTGTGTGCGCGCGTGTGTGTGCGCGCGTGTGTGTGCGCGCGTGTGTGTGCGCGTGCGTGCGCGTATGTTTCTAAAAATAATTATGATATAATGTTCTATTAAACTAAGCTGTGACAAAATAATTTTAAAACTTTGAGATAATATCTAATTATATAATGTTTAGTAAGTATCGCAAATTTGTATTAGTTCATTTTAATTTCCTAAACTTTGAAGATCAAATAAAAAAAAAAAAAAAAAAAAAAAAAAAAAAAAAAAAGAAATGCTCTTTAATAATTAATAGAGGGCTATATATTTATTATAATACTTTAAATCCAATTTTGTAATTTAAAGTATTTTTAATATTAATTTTTTATTTCATATTAATTTAATCAATATTCAAAATTTAATAAAAAAAAAATCAATATTAATTTAATAAAATTAATATAATAAAGATGTGATTTAAATACTTAAAATTTGTTGAAACTCAATAGTTTATTAAAATTAATCTTTTATTATTAGCTGTTTTCAATAAATCGTAGCAAATATATTCTTGAAAAATAATTAGATTGTTTATTAAATTTTTCACATTTTTAATTGCATTGGAATTTAAGTAAATTATTTGCGGTTATGTTACGTTTTTCTTTTTTTTTCTCAATAAATATTTATGTTAAGTACTGAAACAATTTAAAACTAAAAAATAATTTAATTAGATTGTATAACAAATTTCCCCAAATTGTTATAAAAACATTCATAAAATTACCTATTTTTAAACTGCATCTTGTAATTTAAATAATTAATTAGTTCGAAATTTTTATTTTATTGAACATAAAAAATATAAGGGGGTAATATATTCTTTTCTAATAATTTAATATTCCGTCATGACCTGTTTTTAGAACTTTAATCATAGCCTTTAACTTAAGTATTAAATTAACTTTGTTACTTTAAAACTTCTATTATATAATAAACAATATTTGACCAAAATATAATAGTATGTGTTTCAACATCAATAAGTATAGTGGATACTTTTACATATGTAATATATTAATGCAAATAAATGGAATTTTATTTTTAATATTTATTGAAACAAGTTTCAAAGATTAAACCCAAAAAAATATGTATTCTATTAGCTTATATTTATAATTCATATAAATAATTTAATAATTGCTAATTTTTTGTATAATTTTTAGTAAGAAATAAAAGTTTGTAAAACCTGGTAATTGAGGCTATTAACTTCATTGTTAATTGCCGATTTAATATGCGTAATCCAGGCTTCAGTTTCTTCAAGACATTGTTTATAAGCTCTGATTTCTTGTTTCTTTTTTTCCTCTTTTGCGCGAGCTTCTTCAAGAATTGATTGACCCTGTTCTGCTTCGTTTAATAAGCTTGTAAGATTTTTTCGAATTTCAACAATTGATGCTTTCAATTTTACGCGTTCTGAATCATGGAGCATTTTGTTTAATTCGTTATCAATTCTACAAGCTTCTTGATTATAGTATCGCAAATCGGCCAATATTGCCTGTATTGAATAAATATTCAAAATTAATACGATTTAAGTATATTTAAGCATTCAAATATCTTTAAAAATACTTCTGCATTATTAATGTTAGCGTACCCATTGTTATTATAAATTTGTAAGTTTAAAACTTACCGAAATAATACTAATCATGGGTTGCAAATTATCACGCGGTAGAGTTTTCAAAATCCCTTCAAGTTGACGAACTCCTAGATGGAGGTCATCGATGTTGTGTTCAATTTTTTTCTGTAAAAAAGATAAATTTAATACATATTTTATTCATGTATTTCATAGCGTAATTCAAATGGCCACAGTTAAAATAAAAAAACGAGTATTCAAGGCAATTTAATATCACGCATATAAAAATATATGTTATTCAAAAAGTTAAAAAAAAAATTTATTTATTTATATATATATATATATATATATATGTATGTATATATATAAATACATACTTTCATATCAAATTCTAAATTCAATATATAATATTCAATTAAAATTCAAAATACATTAGTCGCTGCATACAGTGGATAGAATTTTATATTTAAATTATATAATAAGTTTGAATTAATAATATATGTATTCAATAATTTATCACTATAAGAATAAAATAAATGAATTTATTCATTTATTTTACATAATGAATCTAAAAATATTATTAATCATATGGACTTATAATTAATGATATATACAAAAATAAAATTGCATCATTAAAATGAACAAATATATATTACAATCATAAGCTAAAATAAAAAGAGTTAATTTGGTCAGATTGTGAATAATAGGCGATCAAAGAGGATTAATGATGAAACATGACATGCAGAAAAAAAAAAAAAAAAAAAAAAAAAAAAACCCTTTTAAATGAATAGTTAAAAGTATTTGTCGAAATGATTTACGATTAGAAATTATATTCAATGAGACGACACAAATAAATTTTTGTGTAACTAAGCTTAATATTAATATATCGTAATTAAATTACATACAAATACATTTAAAGGGATGTCACAATTGTATAAAGTATATGCTGCAATAGTCTAAATAATTTTACATTAAAGTTGTGTACGAAATAAATTAAAAAAAAAATTTATTTCTTACAAAGATTAAATTATCAAATATATTCGACATCGCCTTAAATTAGTTTTATAAAAACTGAAAAAACTAAAGCAATTCAAATAGTACGTAAGTATGAAAACATAATTATTCGAAAAATAACGAATTATAATGAATTTTATTATTTCTATAATGTTTAATTGCTAATTGATTGATGTTTAATTACTAATAAGTAAATAAAGAATGAGAAAAATATTATATTCGCCATTTAATAAGGAGGTCAAATAAAGATGTTTTTATCATACTTCAGTTCCATACAAATATCTTAAATAGAATTAAATTCTAATAGAATGCAAAATTCTCTTGTTATATGCTACGTCCATACACGCGCAAACGCATACGCACACAAAATACATACGTACGTACGTACGGAAGTAAGTTAAGTATAAAAATAAAACAAAAGAAAATCATTATTTTTTTTTTTTTCAGCCAGACGATAGCTCGCACCTTAATCGTTAGGGTATTACTATCTTGGATCTTCTGAGCCGGGTTATGGATCTTCATTTCCCCTAAGATATTTTGCATCTCGCTCGAACTGCTTGACTCTATACCTAAATTAATAGTGGGAGTTGGATAGGATATTGGATGATATGAGTACGATGCTAATGAATCGGTATTAGTTTTTACAATAGTTTTAACAGTTTTCGGTATGTTTAAAATTCCCGTACGCGCCTTCTGTTCGTCATCAATCAATATTTTTTTTTCAAATACTAAATAAGTGCTATAGTCGCTCCAACTACAAATCCCGCCCGGCAAATCCGCAACCAATTGCTCAGTCTGCGATATCTCATTATTTGAATTTGAGGATTGTGTTATTGAAGAATTGTCTAAGTGTTTGCCCTTTCCTCCCCCATTATCATTATCATTATCGTCCGGCTCATCATCTTTATCATTTGAATCTTTTATTGGAGAACTGACAGATTTTTTCTCTTTTTTTACCTTAGCAAGTGATTCAAAAAATATACGTTCGGCCTCTTGATACAAATGGTTCTTCGTGCAAAAACCGTTATCTTCAAGTGCAAACTCGACCCAAGGAGGAATTGGTATTTTTCCCTTCGGATCCCCATTTAATATGCATTTCGGTGCATTTGCTGCTGATTTATTATGATCTATAGTGACTATTTCATCGGCGTCGTCTATATAAAATGTTACTTTTAATTTTGGCAGGTTATTTTCCGATATATTATCGGACGATGTGTCGTTTAATTTCTGTATCATAGCATCTACTTGATGATCATCCTTCATTTTATCGATTTTATTAATATCAAAGTCACTTTGTTTTACTTGCGGCACAATTGTAGAGGCTGCATTTGTCGCTGCAGTAGCATCTTCCTTTTCTCTCGCAATATCCTCGTTAGCTAGTGGCTCGGTATTTGGCTGAAATATATTTGTAGAAATATTATGTTTTTGTGATGCCGGGATGATTGTCTCTGAAATTTCCTTTTTATTCACAGAATTGTCAGTAGAGCGTGTAGCTTGATTGTCAATATTAATCTCTTCTTGTACAAATGTATTTTGTAGCAATTGTGCTTCGTTTATTTGCGAATTACCATCATTTTTTTTAGATTTATCAAATTCTTCGATACGTTGCTTTTCACTTGTGTTTGGTCGAAATAATTCCATATTATTTTGTTCATTCTCCGGTTCAGATCTACGTAAGCTTCTTGAACGGGATCGCGAACGACGTGATCTTAATTCTTTTCTTGTGACAAATTCCGTAAATCCTTGATCGTCAACCTGCGCAAGATTTTCCGTTGATTCGAGTCTTTCTTCTGTCAATAAATTGATTTGAGGAAGTACCGATTGACTTTCAACAGGGACTATAACGAACTTTTTATTTCCTGTATTTGTATCATTCACAATTGTATCGTTAGTCACTTTTTTTTCCATTTCTTGAGAGCATTTAGCCGCCATTTTAGCATATGAAGTGGGCTGTATTTTATTAATATTATCTACTTCAACTGTTTTGGATTTTGGAGGAAGAACTTCAGTTTTATCATCAGCAGTTATTAATTTTTCCAATACACTAATAATATTTGTATCATTTTTTGTAATATTCGCAGGAATATCTTCGATAGATGTCGACATTTTCTCAGTATCATCAACATTTTTGTGCTCTTGTTTTATTAATAAATTATTATTATCGCTTACAATTATTGATTCAACAGTCTGTTTTTGAGATTCTGTTTTTCTTTCATCAAACTGTAAATTCTTAGTTACTGATTTTTTATTTTTCCCATCCTTTTTACTTGAATTATATTCTAATATTTTACTTTCCTTAGAAATTGCGCCTAATTGTTGTAACGTATTGTCAGTTGTTACTTGTTTTTCCATATGTTTCTCACTAGACTTTGATGCTACTTTCGATTCACAACTTTCGACTTTTGCTACGATTTCATGAGATTTTAAATCTTTTTCATTAATTGTAGACTGTTCTTTTTTCGAATTTGGTGTTTTTTTCTTTCGTTCTTTAGCAATATCTACTGATTTTATTGAATGTGTATCCGGAATATCATTATTTCCTATGAAAATTGGTTCCGTTTTGGATATATTTTTATCTTTTCTTGTCGCATCTGTTTCTTCTGACTTTGGTTTGATAGTCATTGTATTTGATTTTTTTTCTTTTAATTTTTTCTCTTGAATTCGCGATTTTTCATTAATATTTTTACTTGATTCTTGTTGTACATTGTATTTACTCTCACTAGCTATCATTTCACTTTTATTTATCATTTTTTCGTTAACTTTTTCAGGTTGGTTTGTTTTAATTAATTGTTTATGATGCTCATTAGCCACCTCTTTTTTTTCTGATTCAATGGTTAAGGAATTCATTGAAGTTTTTTGATTTTTCGATGCTGTTTTTGTCTCTAATATGTCATTAGATTTTTTCGTTTCATTACATTCATTTTTTTCTTTAATCTCTTTACTCTTTGAGTCTTTCACTGTTTGTACATTTTTTAAAGTCTGTGTACGAATAGTTTTATCAATATTTTTCTGATCATTGTCTATTTTTAAGTTCTTATTTGTTTCGATTTTTTTTATCGTTTGCTTTTTGTTTAATTTTTGTGCGGACATTGTTTCATGAGATTTTACTTGTGTGTTAGCATTTTTACGCTCTAATGGTTGCATTTCTTCACTACGTATCTTTGGCTGTACTTTTACATTTTGTACATTAGTAGCAGCGACGTCTTGTTCACTAGCTAATTTACTATTAGAGTTTAATTTTTCGCCTCCTTTTATTAGACTTTGTTGTTGTTCTTTAGATGAAGATTTTTTAACTGTTTCTAATTTTTTTGATTTTTGCTTATCAGAATCTTGAACTTTTTGAATTGCAGTGTTACTTTCAGTATTTTCAGGTTGTGTCTTAGATTTTTCTTTCTCCAATGCTTCTGCAGCTTCTTTCAGTTTCTTTCCAAGTTCTGGTTCCTCGGCATCTTCTTTTTCAAATTGTACATCTAATTGTTCCAAATATTTCTTGTATTGCTTTTTAATTCTAGCTTCTGCATTTTCTTTTGCTTCCCTCAGCCATTCTCTATTCTCAAATTGAGATGCATCTAACAATAGAGTATTATTTTCCATAATAAAATCAAATTCTTCTTGTTCTTCTTCCGTAAGATCAGCATTCCATGGATGATTTTCAATGAATTCTGCTATAAATTTTGGCGTAAGCATTTCCTCTCCTTGGAGATACCTCGGCCCCTTTTCATTTGTACCTTTTAAGGATTTTACTGACTTCAAAATTTCATCGTCGTCAAAGCACAATGGGTTCCGTTCAGATATAATACCCATTGCTTCTGTATTATTTATTTGATTTTCGCTGGCTGCAGATGCTTCAACGCATGAACGATCATTAGATTCTATTATTGATTCTTTTAATTTTTCTTCAGAATGATCTTTTTTTACATCTTCATTTGCTTCCTTTTCTAATTTTACGTTTGTATCAATATCCAATTTATCTTTAGTATTTAATTCATTTTTTATTATTGAAGTGGTAGATTTATCTTTTTTTGTATTAGACTTTTCCTGTCTTTTACTTAAATTTATAGATTGTTTTTCTGCAGAAATTATTGTAACATTCTTTTTAGCATCAGTTTTATTTTTATTAGGTAATTTATGTATTTGATTATCTTTTTTTTTTGATTTTGATGTTATAAGCTCTTTCTTATCACTGGCTTGTTCTCGTAATAGAGAAGGGGAAGAATCTTGGGCTTCGGTATTAGATTCTGTAGCAATTGGATTACATAGAGACACATTTTTGTCAGCACATTGATTTGTTAATGCATTGGTAGATATATGCGTTTGATTATTTTCAGTATGAGGCTTCTTAGTTTGATTTACATCAATTTTACTTTTACTTTCACATTCAAGTTTTTTAAATGCTATTGACTCATTTATATAGTCAATTTCTAAATTATCTGAAGATGGTACAACATGCTTTTCTGTGTTCGATTCTATATACAATTCTTTTTTATCATCATCTTCTGTTTGACTTAAATTTACATATACATTTTTGGTTAATGAAGCATTATTTTTATTGCAATTTTTAACCTCGGATATTGATTCATTTATAGGGTCATTCAGTATTTCATCTGATTTCAATGAAATTGACGATTTAATACAACAAATTGAATCATTATTACACTCAATCTTTTCGTTCGTTTTTTTCTTCAATTCATCGTTTGAAACATTTATACTTTTTTTGGTCTTTTTATTAGATTTTTCTATAGATTTTTGTTTATTATGTTTATTTACGTTTGATAGTGGTTGGGATTCAGATATCGACGTAGTCTCTGGCAATTTGATTTTTGATTCTGTAATAATTCCTTCTATATTTAACGATTTACTTTCATTACCAGAATTTTTACTCATCAGTGGTTCCTGTACAATTTGTTCATTAGTTTTATTAATTTTCTCTGAGATCTTCGATTCTTTTGTATTAATATCTTTGTTTATATTTACTTCAGCAATGTTTTCTTCGATCGATATTTCATTAGATTGTTCCAATTGATTTATTTTCATAGCTTCGATGTTCTTTAGATTTTTAGTTATATTTAAGGAAGATTGAGCTTTAGGAGAAATATTTTTTCTCCTATCCTGCACACTACCAAATAATGGCGGATCATTATCCGGTAATATACTATCTAAGGTAAGAACTTCCGTTTCTGAGTTTGAATGTTCTTTTTCCGTAATTTTATCCAATGATGTAGTAGTAATAGCAGTATCAATAAAATTATTTTCTTCTTTAAATAAGTCAATTACGGTAGGACGTACACTACTTTCAATATTTTGGGAACATAAATTTAATTCTATATTTAATGCGGATTTTTCTTTCTCATTTTTTTCCGTTATAATTGTTGCGTTCGTTATTTCTTTTCGAGAAGCATTTGTGATTTCTAGTTTATTATTCGTACCAGTTTCTCGACAACGTTCGGAATTTTGTTCTTTTTTATTAGTCTTTTTATTACGATCTTTTTTAGAAGATTCTTTAAGCTTTAACGTTTCACATTCTTTATTGTCTTTACATATATTTACAGTTTCCGGCATTAATTTTTTGTTAAGCTTTAAATTATTACCGATACTCTCTTTCTTCAATTTATCGGAAGACATTGCTGCTCGCTTATTTTGTTCATCTTTTTTAATACCTAAATTTTGAATATTTTCAGCGTTGGATTTTTTCGTTTCATTTGAAGGTATCGAAATTGCTTTATTAATATTTATATCGTTTATTTTATTTATCTCATCATTTTCATTAGTATCAAGATTTATTCTAGTATTCTGTTTATTATCATTGTTAATTTTAATATCTTTTGCCTTATCGGGATATTCTTCAGATTTATTACTTTCTGTTTTTTCAGTTATAATGTGCTCTTTTCTTTGCTTCGATTTCAATTTTTGCTTTCGTTCGGGTTTCAATTCATTATTAATTTTTAGTTTACATGCTTCTTTATTAGACTTATCTGTAATCATCTTTGTTTTTTGTTTGTCTATATTTTCTATTTCTTTTAACGCTTTATCAATTTCATCTTCAAGTGACTTATCACATTTTTTCTTTTTTTGTCTTTCCTTTTTATCCTTCACATTTATAATTGATTTATTTGAAGGAGTTTTGTCCGAAAATACCTTTTCTTTTTCATTAAGTGGTTCAACTTTTTTATTTTTTATTTGTTTAATTTCTGGATTTATTCCAGATTTCGAAATTTTATTTTCAGAAATTTGGGAATTTTTCGAATTATCCAAAATATCTGTAGATTTCTTTATTTTTCTAGAGTCAATTTTAGTTTTTTCGACTTTCTTCATACTTTGTTGAGAATTTTCTTCGTTTATAGGTAGTTGTTCTACGATTTGTTTTCGTTTAGTTTCTTTCTTTTTTATTGTATCCCAATTTTTTTCTTGTCCTTCAATAGAATTTTCTTCTTTATTTAATTCAGAAAGCACTGACTTTTTACCGATTGAAATTGAAGTTTTACATTTTGCTGAGATAGATCGTTCTGTCATTGTATTTGATGTTTGTTTAGATGTAGGTATTACGATATCTGAAAATGTTAAACCTTGTGATAATATTTGTGCGTATGAACATGATGATTCGTTACACTCGGGCTTCGTTGTGTTGCTTTTCATGCTTTCAATATTTTGAGTTATATCAGTAGTTAAAGCCGAATGATTTTTATTTTCTGCAGAACATATAGAAACTTGATTATTATCTATTATTGCATTAGATTTAGTTATTAAATTACCTTCTGTTGAGGTATTTGATAGAAGATTAGGTACGTTTTGAGCTTTGGACTTCTTTGGGTGATTTTTATTCGAATTAGTAGTAGAAGCGTGTTTTTGTACATTTTGGGCATCTAAATGCTTAGCCTGAGTTTCACAGTGATTTTGGACTGTAGTTTTCATTTGTTGAATAGATTCTTGAGTAAGGTTATGCGTATATGCATTTTCTTGAGGTGGATTTAATTCCGAATGAATAAGTTCTGCTAGTGGTGGCATTGGTTCAATTAATGGACTTGTACTAATAATTGATTCACTTAATGAATTATAATTATTAGATGCTTGATCTGTCAAATCTCGTTCTTCCAGTACTGTATTTGGATTTTTTTTATTAAATACTTCTAAACTTGAATTTTTATTTTTATCATCTAACTTAGTTTCCACACACTTTATTTTTGAATCTTGAGATTTTGTTAGGGAAATTTCTTTTAAGACTTTATTCGAATCTTTATTTTTCATAGATGCTGTGTCATCAATTACTTCATCTAAATCTAATGATAGTATTGAAGATGAATTGGTACCTCTCAAAATATCCGCATATGATGTCGATCCTGGAATCCATACGGGGCTAGATGGCCTATCATGTTTTGATTCGCATGGCATTAAATTTGGCTGAACAGTAGACTCTATAATATTTAGTATTTTTTCTACTTGTACGGATTCCACATTAGTGATATTCGATTTTTTTAATTCAGATGATTTTTGAATCGGCTTGGTCGCTTGTTTTCTTGTTGGAGATCTACTACGACGAGGACTGGTTTCGGACTTTAATTTGTTTTCTTTCTTTTTCTTTTGAACATCGTCTTTAACTTTATCTTGCATTTTTATCTGAGTTGATCTATCTTGATCTAACTGAGTGTTTACAGTTACGCATTGTGGAAGATTGAAGGTTGAATCGTGATCAGTTTTGCTATAAGGACTTACATGACGAGAACTTGATCTTGATCGTCCTGCAGCGATAGCAGCGTAAGAAAAATTACCAATCTGTTTACTGGCATTCTCTGTACTCGATGTATCATAGTTTGGATCTATTTCGTGAATGTGATTGTCCAAAATCCATAAGCGTTCCTTCCATTCCTCCATCCGTATCAGCAAGGCCTGCTCGTAAAACGTAAGTGCATGGAGATCTCATTTCTTTTCAGTTCAATAAAAAATTTTTCAGCATGATGTGCATATATATAAATTTTTTGCTTTCAAGCATCGGAAGCACTTTTTATTTGTACATATTTTTAGTTTTGAATATTGTCAGAAATTTTTGTCTAAATTTCAAAATTCTAGTTTTGTTAAAAAATTCAAGTCTTCTATTTTCACAATCCTCAAAATGATTAGGTAAAAAAAAAAAAAAAAATTCGAAAGTCATCGAGCATTATGTGCATTTTATCTGATTTGAATTAGAGTTGAAATTATTTAGGAAAATTTAGGTTACGTCGATCGGTTAAGATGATAAAAAAAAAAAATCAAACTAAATACTTCCTCAAAAACAATGCTCTTTATTTTCCTCGTTGTTCAATATAATATTAAGATAATTAATATTGATTCATTAAAGAAATGTTTGTTTTATAATTATTAAAATAGTTTACACTTATGAAATATTTAATTCTTTACAGATTAAATCCATAAATAAAATCACGTATGTGTATTGCAGGAAAAAATTACAAGAATTTTTACGTGCCAACAAAAGTACACGAAATAAGGGACTGGAGTTTGAAATTGAAAAATTCGTAATATCATTCAAATCAAACATATAATGGCAGTTTACATTTCAATGTAACATCTTACACTAGAATTGTATCTTCGAGAGTCTATTAAATGACATTAAAATTACAAATTAATCAACGGTTTTTTCGATCTATAATTCAATATTTGTCGTATAAATTAACCAAAAAAAAAAAGAAAAAAAAAATATATATATAAAAAAAATAAATAAATAAATAAAAGATACAGTATTTTCGCATATTTAATACCGTAAGTTACGTATAATAATGAATTAATAACTCGACTTATCCAGTTTAACGAGATAAACTTCTAGGGTTCTAATTGTTCTCTTTCCGGTATTCCTCGTTGAACTAATAGTTTTGAACGTTCTGTGCGTGCTTGAATTTTACTATGTAATGACTTTATACGTTCACGACAGGTCTATTAGTAACAAATGAGAAAATTGAGCAACAAGAGTAGAATTAATAATAATAATAAAAAAATTTGTTTAAAGTAACGATAACGTTTGATGTGTTATTAAAGTACAAATAAATTTAAATATAAAGTTATAAAATGTTACAAACATGTAGAGATGACGAACAAAGAATTAACATCGACGTCGCCAATTAAATAAGGATTAATATTTGTGGAATATTTTTGAAAGGTTAATGCGAATGAAGGGAAGGAATGTAGCAAACAAAAGTCATAAATAAACAGCTAGTCGGAAAACGTAAAATTAAACAATAAAAAAATTTAAAAAATCGCATATTTATTAAACGATAAAATCGCATTGTCATTGTAAAGCGATATTAACACGAATCGTCGAAATATTTCGTGTTTACAGAATCCAAGAAAGTCGACTTGATTTGCCTATATTTGAGCTGCCATGGATAATTGATTTAAACATCGATGATAATTATAAATCTGCTTATAAATTATTAATAAAAAATATAACTAATAGATAAATAATTAATAAAAATAAAAAGTAGTCAATTAAGAATTATATATATATATGTAGTAATATTTTTGTGCAAATATATAATTATATCTAAAAAAAAAAAATACGAATAAAATAAAAAGTAAAGTAAAGAGTAAAACTATTTCATCAAGGACCAGATATAAATAAATTTCAACACAAACAGGCAAAATCAAGTTACTGCTCGAAATAATAATATACTGTAAAACCGTCACTCAAAAGTACTTAAGAGCAAAGAAAACAATTCACAAAATCAGATATGAAATATGAATATTAACTAACATTTATAAAGCAATAAACATATTAGCATACAAAAAAATATTTAAAAAAAAAAAATAATAATAATAATAATAATAATAATGTGTTTAAATGAACAATAATGATTAATTAAAATTTCTATCCACTAGATTTTAATTTTTTAACATTTAATTAATTTTATAGTTTTTTACTTTTTAATCTAATATATTTAAATTAATTGAAAATTAATATTATTTTTCATTATAAATAGAAAATAATGGAAAACAAAGTAGCAGATAAAACTTACTAATAATCTTACATCACTTTTAATAAATTAATTAAATACAGGCAATTCTTTTAAAAATCAATGATAATAATTTTATTTTGCTATTATACGATTAAATAATCATCAGAAATCGTATTGAGTATTCAAATTATGTTAATTTAAATCACCATGTTTGTGTTGGCTTTCAGTTGGTATTACATTTTAACTATTATATGTACAAATTAATTTTTGCTTATTGCTAAAGTGCAGGAGAAAGAGAACAAAAAAGGAAGAGAGACAGAGAGAGAGAGAGAGAGAGAGAGAGAGAGAGAAAACCTACCTGTTGTTCTTGTGTTGCCTTTTCTCTATCGTTAGATAGATAAGTTGGACTTAAAACAGTCCTCAGTTGTTGTTCTGCTTGTACTGTTTGTTGACGAAGTTGTTGAATTTCCTATAAAAAATTATTCGTTTGACCTCTTAAGACATGCTCTATACAATAGTCTTAATACCCATCATTTAAAGAACAGAAAAAATGTACACGTCATTTATTGTTAAAATAATTTGTTGTGTTGAATAATTTTTAGATGCTTATTAAAATAAGTAAAGTAAAATATTAAAAATAAATTAAGTATATAGCTTTTCGTTTGAAATAATAATGATAATAATAATAATAATAATAATAATAATAATAATAATAATAATAATAATAATAATAAGGAAGCTTCCAATAGCATTTAGTAAATAATAATCTTATTCTTCCTTATTATTTGATTTTATTAAAAAATTTTATTATTTTTTTGTTCTTTGTTTGTATCTATGTATTTTTTCTCTCTCAATATTAATTCTAACCTGTTGATATTGATCTAATTGCGAAAGACAAAGTTCTAAGGACCCAGTTTGTTCTTTAATGGTATTATTGAGAATGTCAAGCTCATTGAGAAGCTCATCCGCAGTCTCGATAACATGGCTATCCCCACCAATACCAGAACGGAAGTGTACTTGTAATTTTTCGACGCTCATTGTAATTTTTGTTTTTTGTATGGTTACATCGCTTAGCATCTTTTCACGTATAGCGTGTTGGTCTCTCAAGGGTTTCTTCTTGTTCTGCGGCGATTCCAAGTTCTGTCGTGCCTTTTCCATCCAAACCTTAACGTCCTTCAATTTACGTTCACATTGCTCCCATTCTTCACTTGTCTCTTGCAGTAGCGCGTTCTGTAAAATTAATAAATTGCCAAAATATTTGTCTAGCGCGCTATTCTAGATGTAATCTATTCGGTCAACTAACCCTCTCTAAGAGCTGACCCTCTACTTCAACTTTTGCATCTTCGGCTTCGGTGAGCATTTGTGGTAAATTACCGACATTCGTTACTTGACCAATGCTCTCCAATTCACGTCCCATGTCGCTCAAGTTTTTGTTCACTTGTTTACAGCTTTTAACAGCGGTCTGAGAATTTTCCAAATTTATTTTCATTCTAACTGTTAGATTTTGATAAGTAACGAATATTTAATCAGCAATAAGCAGACTCTTTTGTCACTTTATACATAGAAAAATATATAATAATAATAATCCACGGTATTTTATCAAATTTATGCTTCCGTTACATTTATATATATATATATATATATATATATATATATATATATATATATTATTAAGATTGCAAAATTTTTATTATTCTTGTTCTTACAGTTTATTGCTTATAATTTTATTTCTTAAACAATTGCAAAATAATTTTTCAAAGTTTTTTTAACGTAACATTAATAAGCTTGATATATTCACGCATTGCTATGTCTGTATAAAATATTCATTACTTAGATACATTTCTGGAAATCTAATATGACCCACCGCGTATTCGTGAAGCTTTTGTCGCGCCTGATTGAGACTACTCAATTTTAATGGCTCTGCCAAGAATATTCTTTTCTCCGCAGTCCAAGTTTTGACAGTCTCCAAAAGTACGAGGAACCTCTGCCAAGCATCTAGCGTATCACCAACCAATTGTTTCTTTTCGTCAAGCCAAGACTTAACCTGAATTAATTGCTCCGTTAAAGTAGCCACCGTTCCAGCTGTCAATTGCTTCTCTTCGTCGTCCTTCGTCGTCTCGATTATTGCCTTACCATTCTTCGTTAATCTTTCGAGCTTATCGGTGAACGATGGTAGCTCATTTTGTATTTGTCGCAGATTTTCCATCATTTTGGAGGGCTCGCATGATCTGTCTTGAACTTTGAGCTCGGATTCGCGTATCCATGCTTGTAGCTCATCGACATCCGTTAAGTAATCGGTTCGCGTTGTTTTGGCACGCTTCTGCTCGCGCTGCTTTTCCTCCATCACTTGATTAGTATCTTCAGCCTGTAATTCAAGGGCGGCTAGCTTTTGCGCCACGTCAATTGGTACAAGTTGCTGGCTGGCTTGATATTGTCCTTTAGTTGTCCCAGAGAATTGTCGCAGAGACTCGAGTTCCGACTCGAGCTCCGATCCAAGAACGACAAGCTCGCCCTCGATTACGTTCTGATTTGCCCCATAAACATAAAACTTGTCGATGCAAGAGTTGATAGATTCAAGGCGCTCACGATGGAGCTCTAACTTCTCCTCAACAAGCCGCAAACTTTGTAGATCTTCGTTTGCCTTTTCCAACTTAAATCGCAGCAAATTGACAAGGCTGAAAATATTACACATTTTGCTTCTCAGATACGTGCAGTTGACAAATTGCTCGTTAATATTATTGTATATTATACTGGAAAATTTAATTGCTCAATATTATGCGTGTCTGAGAATGGAAGTATAGTAGTACGTTCACTCGTAATTACTCATGAAATTTAATACAATTTATCTCGAAGCAATGGAATTATTACTTTTAATATTAATAATACATAATGTTAAATTAATGTTAAATTGTGTATTACGAAAGAAAATTATATTTTACTTTACAAATACATCCTGATAAAAACAAGTCTTTCGTTATTATCGATAAATTGGAAATAACTATTTTTAATGAAAATATAAACAAGTTTTAATTTAAAGGAATCTTATAGTGGACAGAAATTATTGTACTTTGCACGACAACCGTTGGAAATGTAAAATGTATTATCAAATTTTATTTAAATTTCCGCGACGCATGCAATCTGGCTTTACAATTCAATATTAATATTCTTGAATATAATCTAGTCTTATTGATTTGATCATTTGCATTATCCTTACTTAAACTCTTATTCTCTCACTACCTTCGACAACACGACGAATAGTTTAATTTTGTTTTTATTTGCACGTGGTCAACAACTATAATATAAAGTACAACGGTCGCTCCTCTACTCCGTCTAGATGGGCATAAGTAACTAAAAGCGCACCAACATAGTGTACGAAATTAGAATCGGAAATGCGTGCCCTGTATTACTCCCCCTCCCTCCCAGCATAACGTACGAGCGCGCGCCCGCGTATGTCAGAGAATTAGTGAAGGAAAAACGAAAAAGACAAGTCGAATCGCAACGCGCTGTACGGACTTCTCTGACCGGCTCACGATCGGTCTATTACAAGAAACCTTGGCTAAAAGTAGAGTGGACTATGGCTGGCTTAAAATTTTAACGCCTACTGTACTTCACTTGCCCTATTAAACGTTATCTTAACAAGGTTTGTCGACGAACGATTCTATGCCATTTCAACCAATTGCTTATATTATTTCATTAATTATTAAAGCTAAAATTATCCGCACTGTTGTATCAATATCCCTAACCTATACCTAGCCTATACTTAGCCTATCCTTAGCCTATCCTTAACCTATCCTTAGCCTATCCTTAGCCTATCCTTAGCCTATCCCTAGCCTATCTCTAGCCACTACTGTGTCTTAGGTCTCGAGAGGACTAGATACACATATGCAAGATCAAGTTCAGGGTTTTATAGAACTTTTACCTGCACGCACACTATTTATTATTTAATTTAAATAAAGAATTTTTTTTTACTTTGAATTTGTATTCCCGTGAGTTCGAAAGGCTTAGAAAAATAATTATGACAATAGTCATAATTATCACTGTCAAAATTAATAATGTGATAATAATGTGCGTTAAATCAATTATAAAACAAATATTCAACGAATACATTCTAAAGTCTTTAATACTTTATCATTGTTTATATAAGATTATCGATCTTCTTATTCACTCATACGTATACATATATTTAATATTATTATGCTTCAAATACTTTTATCAAATAGTTTAAGATGATTTAATAATAAGTAAAAATACTGTTTATATTTATAGTAAATTTTTAACTGAAAAAAAAATTAATTACATTTATTTTGGACGATACTCTAAATCAATTGGTTATTCCATAAAATTGAAAAATGTTATACTCTTCAAATTTAAACGCACACATTACTATAACTCAAAATGAATTATTATAAAAAAAAATATATTTTAATTATCCAAATCATATCACGTTAAATGACTAATGAAAGAAATAATTTAAAGAAATCCAATATATGTATACAAATGTATATATTTGTATAGTATATATTTCATTACGCGCACATAATATCATTGTGATTGCAGAACACTTTGTATTATTAACAAATTAGCTTAAAAGATAATGAAATCGATATAATAAGTGATCAATTAACAATATTAAAATCAACGCTAAAACTAGATTGTCGCGCAAGTCCGAGATAATCGAATTGTACGTAAGAACAATTGGGAAGGTAGAAACTTTTATCGTCTATAGGAAGAAAGTTTTCGATGTCAATGCCGTATTTCAAATAGTGATGCGCTACCTCGACACCAAATGAGATGACATCATACAATTTGCAGAAGATGATCCAAGCGCACGGCCAAGTTTTATGAAAACAAGGAGCGTCGTATCACACCGGCACCTACGTATTTTACTACCGTTTCTCGCTCGACATTTTTTTGATTTTATGGCATCACTTTTGTGTGCGTGTGCGGGCGTGCGTACGTACGTGCATGCGTGCTCGCGACATAGAAACGCGCGCGTGCGATGTTCCTTGAACGCAGTTTTAGATCACCTACATTATGAGTTATACTCGTTGCATCGAAAAATCTTAATATCCATGGATTAAAAAAAAAAAAACTGTAATACGATACAATCACAACATGTATTAGAAGTATACGCGTTTATATCAAAATATTTAAAAAAAATCATGCTTATTATCTCAAGAGAGTATGTTAGATATATATATATATATATATATCGAAATATAATTATTAAGAAAATAAATATTCGTTTGATAATTTTTATATATATTAAAATGCAGAGAATTGCATCTGCATTAAATGTACAAAGACATTTAGAATATAAAACTCTTAGCACATATAAAACATATAAGACTATATAAATTGTTATTTACGTTTAATTGTTTTTCACAACACATTTGACAAGACCGGTTTATTAGACGAAATGATACGATTAAATCAATGAATAATCACGACGATACGATTATTGCATAAAATCACAATCTTAATATTATGTATGAGCCTAATAATTAGCACAGCGAACGACCGTCTACCGATTGATATTTTCGTTCCTCCTCCTATCTTCGTGTGTATACCTGAACCGTGGATTTTTCTCACCTACGTGAGTCTTAGGCACTGGGAAGTATAAGGTGGCGATGAGAAGACGGTGTACAATAAATTTATCGTTGTTGAGGAAATTTGAACAAACGATAGAGCAGTACGGCACTAGTTAAGCCAGGCTAGCTACGACTCGATGTTCGAAACGTATGAAGAAGAGGTGCGGGAGTTTGGCGCGCAGTTCCTGCTTGGTTTTGGTCCACGACGACGATTAGGCTTCCCTGAGCGACTTACCGCCACGACGCATGCGGACTTCAATTTGCCGAGTACTAATAATATCTTAAAATCTGTTCTCTTTCTCGCACATGCACGATCTTTCTCTCTTTTTATCTCTCTCTCTCTCTCTCTCGCTCTCTCTCTCTCTCGCTCTCTCGCGCTCTCTCTCTCTCGCTCTCTCGCGCGCTCTCTCTCTCTCTCTCTCTCTCTCTCTCTCTCTCTCTCCCCCTCTCATTTACTATATTATTTTTTATTCTTTACCGAGGATATTTGTACGCGTTTGTCTTTAGTTGAATTGTTTGTATGCACGAAAGTCATCTCTTGTTGACCAAGTCAACATTATACACGTGTGCGTAAGTATGCAGGTGTGCATAAGTATATGTGCTTGTATTTTTAAATTTTAAATGCTTAGAATGCAGGTAATGTACAATCTATTTTTACTCACACCCAATATATGGAATCATTAGCGAAATATATGCATCACTAAAAATTAGTTTATTTTAGAATGGAACTACAATAAATTAAATATTGTTATTTGCATTTGCTTTAAACTGTGCAAGTATAACAAATATTTTAATTTATATAAACATATAAATATTTATGTAAATACTTTTATCGTCTAATCGAATAGATCAGTGTTTACGATAATTATAAATAATTACTATCAGAATATGAAATTTTATAATATTAAAAATGCAATATGGTACTCAAATTAATGTATATTAAAATTTAAATATGTAAACTGTTATTTTCAAAAATAAATATAATTAAAATTATTGCGAAAATAAATAACTTTTTGTTTAATAACCTTTAAGAAAATAATAGCAGATGCAAAATAGATATTTTTATTATAAGGCTGAAACTCAGTCTTCGTTACAAAATATTAATAAAAACATTTTGTTAAATATAAAAGATTATTTTTATACATTCTTAAAAATCTATTTTTGGAATTCATATGATTTTTCTCAGTTTATGGATATCTTCTTCTTATATAATAGAGATATTATTATACCTGCAACATTGAATTAAAGTTTTCAATATGTATTGTTATTAAGCTTTAAAACTTTTTTTCTTTGAAAATTATTATTCATGTAATATATATATATATATATAATATACCTGTTATTTTATATTATAAATAATTTCAGTACCTTATGAATATAATCATATCTTACAATGATATAATAAATAATATGTTTTAATTTTTTTTTACGATGTAAATTATATAATCTAAAGTTAACGAAGTTATTTATTTATGAAAGTATATTTGTAATATTAATTTTTTCACTTAAAAAGATTAAATTTCATCTGTATTGATAAAATTATATTGAATATAATATAATATGTTTTGAATTGAATTTATTGATTAAATTTTCAATTACAACAAAATAATAAATTTACGTAGTTCCTCATGATTTATAGCAATTGTTTTCATTTACTAGATATACAGGTATCCAAATATAAACATTGTGATTTTTTTTTAAAATATGGCCAAAAATATATGTTTATTATATTATCAAATCAATTAATCATAGACTATATAGTACGTAGAGTCTAATAATTAGTTTATATAATTAGATTACTACACTATGCATAGATCTTTCATAGTAAAATAACTTCGTATGATTAGTAAAAATAAATTTATACAAAAATCATAATGAATATGTATAATATAATAATATAATTTTACAATCGATATAACTATAGTCTGTATTAAAATATATTTAAATCATTATTGCAATAAAAAAAAAAAAAAAATTGATTTATATTTAGATTTAGAATTAATTTATAATAAAATAATATAAAATACTTTATTTCATAATAAATCATCTATAAAAATATTCAAACATATCATACAAGACAGATATAATTTTTTATTTTTATAATTACACATTTAGTATATTTCGTTTCAATTAATTAATTATATAGAATTCTGTTCATTATACAGTTTACGTAGCGTAAATAATTATTATCGTTATACTTGTGTGTGTATTAAATTAAACTTTATGTTATAATATGTAGGAATTAGATATTGTGAAATAGAACATTCTCTGAATTTATTTTTCACTAATATTTTCGCTATATTGGAAATATCAATAAATTTGTGTCGAAAAAATTTCGAGTATTTTAAAGCGAAATAAAATAGATGATTTACATTATTCATATATTATTGAACAATAAGAAAAATCAGATGTTAAAAAAAATCATTACATTTTAAATTCCACTCAACTGTATAAAAATATTGCAAGTTCACATTGTTGCGCTTCTCTACGAGGATTATTTTGAAGTCACTTGAAAATGATCAATGTTTATTAAAAATGTTTTAAAATAAAAATCAAATTCTCACCGAACTAAAGTTACCCAGCATTAGCCTTGAAACTTAGGTACCAGCAATATTCATAATTTAACGTACACAAAATTTAATTCAAAAGTTCAGATAATTAATAATTATATATTAATTAATGTTCTGTAAGCAAGTAAATAATTTAACATCACAAAGATTGTATACTGAAAGTTCAATCATTGGATATAGTGTTAAAGTGAGTATCTTGATAATAGATTGGATTTTCATAATCACAGCCCGTACTATAAACAAAAACTTAGAGATCAAAATTTACTGAATGGATAATAAAGAAGTGCATGCTTGCAACGCCGGCCCGGACCGACGAAATCGGTTATACGAAAAAGCCATAGTCCCGCGTAACCTTCGCAACGCAAACATTGTGGTGGGATGACCCAACCTGTTTTACTACCGTTGATGTAACTATTTTTATACACATTTAGTATACTCAGCGACTGTATTTACGGGTTCAATTACATCGCCAGGAATATTTGACAGTGACGGAAGTATATTACCAACTAGCTTTTACTCAATATAAGGCCGAATTACAGATCGAGCACGTAGAAAAAATCTTGCCACATGAATATACGAATAGGAAGAGTTTATCGATTTAATGACTATGTGAACGAAAAGGATAGCATGTAAAGCCAAACATACAATCATTCACACACGCTCGCGCATGAATCCGCTAATTTGCCCACATGCACACGTGCAAACACGCATACGTAACACGCGCGTGCCCGCATATATATATATATATATATATATATTTAGAGAGAGAGAGAGAAAGAGAGAGAGAGAGAGAGAGAGAGAGAGAGAGAGAGAGAGCGAGTTAGAGAGACTGTATTGAATTTGCTATTGTGTTATCATCAATAGGATACGGCAAGAATGGTATTAACAATATATATTAAAGGATTGCTTCCGCCTTTAGGTATTGAGTCTGTATCTTTTTTTTTTCAATGAAATTTCTACTAATATTTTTTTAATGTAAGTGATATTTACTTATGTTCTGAACTGTTTATTATACGAGCATTTTCTAAAAAATGATATCATTAATATAAATGATGAACATAGAAAATACTTAAATATTTTATTAAAACAGTTATTTTATTTTGTTTTATATGATATGATCATATATTAATATACGAATTAAAAATATTACATTTTTAATTGTAGAAGAATTTAGATTTAGAAGATAATGGAATTTTTCATAATTTTTCTGTTAATTATGATTCTTTTTCATCAAATAGACAATAATAATACAGATAAATAATTTAGTAGCATATTTTTTTATTCATATTCCTAAAAATAATGAAATTAAATGTTTTTACTCTATACAAGAATAAATACTGTTTTTATTGAAAATATATATTATAATTAAATTGATTAATTATTGTATTATTATATTGTATCGGGAAATATTGAAATTTAATTAAAAAGAGCTGTTGCAAAAATATTTTCATATAATTATATAAATTATTTAGACAGTATACAAAAAATTTCTATCAATTTTAAAAATGAATATAAAATATTTTATTTATACAATCTTTATAGTGCCAATGTTCAATATAAAGTTGAAAACCATTTTAATATGTAGATAAATAGTTCTTATCTATGTTAATAATTATGTTTACTTAACAAGTAATCTTTTTTTATTTTATTGTGTTTGCTTTAAAACAATTATTCAAAACATGTTTGTTTTTATAATTCACCAAAATTTTCAATAAATTCTCATTTTAGTTATTGGTGTATAATTTCTTTTCTTAGTAATATACTAAATAAAGAATTAAAAATTATTTGGCGAAAAGTATTTAATAATTAATAGTAAATAAAAAATAAATTATCAATAAGAAATTCAATTATCTAATAATTATTTATCAGAGAGTTAATCTGTTACTGTATTACATTAAGGAAATATTTATCAACAACAAATATATTGAAATTTTCAGCATTTTTAGAATTGTTTTAAATTTTTTCTTATACATAATTTTGATTGCATTTTATTCATTTTTATTAATTGATGTTATATGTCGATATTTTATGCAGACATGATTTTATAGACATTTGTAATTTTTTCATTTTTATATAATTATGCAATATAGACTAAAAAAGTAATAATTTTTTTTATTTTTTTTTTTTTATACTAATTAAATGTAATAATTATAAATAAATACTTGATAAATGAACGCATACATATTGAAATGAATGAATGTAAATAGATTTGTTCTTAAAAAAAAAAAAAAAAAAAAAAAAAAAAAAAAAAAAAAAAAAAAAAAAAAAAAAAACAATAATAATAATAATAATGATGAACTACCTGTTGAATGATTTAAAAATCATCAATTATGTCGATGTTAATAAAAAATTCAATTTACACGACTATTCCGTACCAATCTACACTAGATTTTATTTAGTAATAGGCGTAAGACGTAAAAATTATTTTTGGCGTTAAAGTTGTATCTTACAGTTTCTTTTGTCAATGTCACCTTTTGTAGTGAAATAAGCAAGGTTAAATATACGATTTTATATAATACATAATTATTCGTATAAGATTGCTTATAATTTTATTATAAATGAATAATTTTAAATATATAATATTTAATGTAATATACACATCGGACTTCTATGTAAACACACACGTTCATCATCTTATTTCTTTTAATAAAACGTATGCAAATATGTTTAAATATTTATAGTATCATAATAGAAATATGCCAATATTCTGATCTGCAATGGTGAATAAATTATCAGTCGTAACAAAAAATGCTGTGACCTGTGAACGATTACTTAACTGAGAGTACTCGTGAGTGTTGGCAATGCCAAATCTAATTCGATCACTCTCACCTAGTTTGCTTTGAACATACACAAATTTATTAATCACATAAAATGTAATAATACAGTTTATACATTGTTGATCTTTTGTTTTTGTACTATAAAATAACCTTGAAATATTTGAAATATTTCCGTATCATTTTTTTAATTACAGTGGGAATTATTTTTCAGTTACTATATACAAACTTTTGTTGTATTTAAAAAAAAAATCATTTATTAAAATAACGAGTAAAGATAAAATAAGAATAATATATTTGGAAATGAGGAGTCAAAGCAAAAGCCACTGCAAATAACATGCACATACATTATTGTTTCAATTGTAAAGAAAAAAATTATATAAAAAAATATGAAATTATGTTTGTTGCAATTATTGTTTATAACTATAACATACTTACGGTACAAAAATTTACATTAGCTTAATATCAGGTATAGTCATATAAAATTACGCAGTAATATAAATGAATAATAAATCGGGATGAAATGGTATTGGTATTTGATATTCCTACTATTACAAAAACAATTAAATTATGATTTATCTTAATTTCAGCTGCACACGTTTATATTCCGTGTTGAATAAATAAAAATTGTATATAATCACTTGTAATTATGAAATCTGAATAGGCTATATTTCTAATGTTTTTCGCTAAAAATAATTACGCAAATATTTAAATTAAATGTTTTTTCGCTCAATATTATATTCGTACATTAACAGTATTAAGGTATTATATATGTTTTAAACTTTTATAATCTCAATGAATATTATAATAAAATTAAAGAAGTATTTTTCAATAATTTGCAAGCTACTTGAAAAATATTGTAATGAATGTAACAAACACTAATATGAAAATTGGATTATATTTATTATGAAGTAAAATCATCCATGTTTACTATTTATGTTTCCCAATGACAGATTCGCTTCAAACGATTATTTATCTTTTTTATAATAGTATCAAATGTTGTTGTTAATTAATATCGAGATAAATAGAATAATAAAAATTCCCTACTTACGTATCGACGGCCTCACTAAGTTTATTAATGCGTTCCTGAAGAGCATTTGCAGGAGGTTCGGTAAAGGCTGCAAGATATGATAGAACAGGACTTGCCAGATCATTTACCTCTTCTGCGTCAGATTTTGAAGTCTCCGCCTCAACTATTAATTCCTTTAATAAAAGCAAAGACTTACGTTATTTTTCAATGAAAATGTTATTTAAATGATTATTCTTATTATTATCATTAATAACGATAAGAATAAAAATTAAGCAGTGTATCCTATTAAATAATATTATTTTAATATTTTTTAATATGTAATATTTAATAGTTCTTATTTTAGAATTGTTTTGCATTATACGTGATTTAAATTCAATTACATTTGACGAAAAGTATATTATAAGGAGCCCTAGGAAAAATGCTTTGTGACTTATCTCCAACATTAATACAAATGTTCAAGTTCCCTTCAATAAATTTTCTATTTAATTATAAATAACTAAAGTTACTATGTGCTTAATTATAATGAATCCATTAAGTTAGGCTGGAATAAGTTGAAAATCTATACATCACACTGTAACTAGTACCCGCCCGTACAAGTTGGCACGCAAAATATTTAACCCTTTGTAAAATAATAATTACTTAACATTAACAATGTTCGAAAAAAAATTTTTTTAAATAATTCTGAAAATACTATATATGTTTTCGGCGTGCCAAGTATCTTTTATTTATACTTTTACTTGTTCGTTTTTTTTTTTTATTTTATTTATTTATTATCTTAATGATAGTAATACAGAAATTTTTTTAGAATATTTGAAATGACTTTTTAGCAAATTAACTGTAGAATTTTGAATTTATTATTTAATGCACAATTTTATATAAATTAAGCGTATGAATAGTATCCAAGATTTCATTGGGAAATATTAATGGAACAGTTTGAATTTTAACTGTTGACTTCTACGGGAATTAAAATATTAAACAAATGTTATCTGATCGATTAAAAATGTATATGAATATTATACGTTGTACCTCAAAGATACTAAAATGATATTAATATTATACGTTGTACCTCAAAGATATTAAAATCATACGTCATGTAACGAGTGTAATATAAATAGTTATACTTCATATTGATATTTTATTTACTATTAAATTAGTATTGTTAAAAGCCTTGAGCAAAATTTACTATTCATAATTTTTTAGCACTAAACATATATAAGAAAGAAAGAATTAAATTAAAAAGCTATTCGATTTGCATTTCAATTGTAAAAAATCATATAATGAATAATCATTAAAATATTAAATAGCTTAAATTTCAAGCTCGTATCGACTCTTTCAATTAAAAACAATATTTATATTGTGACTTCTATTATTGTAATATTTTACTTACACCGAGTGTCTTGGCTGTGTCCAACAGATGCTGTTTTGACCGGACTACCGTGTCAACAAGTTTGCCTCGCTCCTCAATCGCATTGAGTTTCGCTTCGGTGCTGGACCACTTCGATTCCAGATCCTCCCAGTGACTGGACAGGGAGTCAAGAGTGTTGCGTCGGCCCTCTAATCCAGAGACCAAATTGCGCCACTCAGAGTTGATTTCGCTGAGTTGTGCCTCGATTTTTTTTTTATTCGAGAAGTCAGCTTGATAGAGGACCTCCTTACCGCGTTCTTTCAACACGTCAAGTTCGTACTGTTGATTCTGTAAGAATACGATAAAAATTTATTTTTCATTATATTTTATAGATTATATATAAGTATTTTAATGTTATGTCATATACATAATATCTTTTTTTATTAAATTAAATGGAAGAAATTCTCTTCGTTTGACTTAACAACTAAATTACTAAGTTTATTACGTGCGCTTGGTTTATTACGTATAGTTCAGTTTATTAAATGTATTATACTTTATTATGGTTTAAAATGAGATCGTTACCACCACTAGCATAATAAGCATTATCATTATTATATTCAGAACTTTAATCAAATTAATTAAAATTATAAAAATTATATTTATTGTTTTTAATGTAAATGACATTGTTATAGGAGTAAGTGTAAGTTTTTTTTTAATGATATGAAGTAAATAAGAATGTTTATGTAATATTTTGCATGATTAATAAAGACAAAAATTTTATAATTCTATTATGCATATTATAATATGATTGTTTAAAATTTCATAATACATATATGTACGACGATAGATATTATTAGATTATTAGATATTATCATTCAATCGTACATTTATATTTGTATTTACATTTGCATTTAAATATATATTTAATATATTAAATATATATTATAATATGTATGCACGTAGATATTTGTATATATACGAATTAACGGATGTCTATACGCGCGCGATCCCCACACGCACATATTAATAAAGGAATAAAAAATGTTTCTGTAATCAATGTCAATTCAACATTATTTATATGTAAAATTCAATATTTATCTTAAAAAATATTTAAGACATTGATTAAATTTAGATGATAAACTACCGTTTATTCTAATTTTATTCTAAATTTTAATTTTTCTATTGATTAAGTACATTATTTTATTATAGCACAAATAACAATAATATTATTGTAAACTTTATGAAAATATATTGTTGATGTAATAACAAAAAACGTATACACAAGAGTATGAAAATAAACGTATGAAATAAAAAATTAAATTATAATGAAATATTATTAAATTATGAGTAATATTGTTTAAAATCATTCGACTAAATGATATAGACGACATTGATCGTAAGACATAACTACTTATTGCTACAACTAACATTTATCACAATGTATTTGAATTTTTGTAAACTTACTTTCTTAGTATCATGTTTATAACCTATTTCAAGTGTATGATTCGATGTAGTAAATCGAAATCGAATTTCATTTATTTCACTTACTGTAAATACAATATTTATATTGAATTTTTAAATATTTCGATGGCAAGATGATACTTAAGTTCAATGTTCAAGTTCTTGAATTAAATTTAACTCTAATATTGTCCAAAAGTTGACACGAAGTGTTATTCATACACTCGATTAACAGATAATTGGGTTAGGTGACATTTTAATATCCACATATATTCCTGTGTTATTTGACTTGGAATAAGTATCGATAAAAAATCATTTTATTTCCTAGTGAGATTTTCATTTGTACAAATAATGTTTTACAATAGTACTTTATTTCATGTTAAAGTTTAATTAAAGAAAACTCAATGTTAAAATTAAACTAATAAAAGAAAATGTGTGTGTATATATATATATATATATATATATATATATATATATATATATTAATCCCAATTACTAATAATTATATTTATTAATCTGCTATCTAACAAATATGAAAATTAATAAAATGGTAATAGCTATTATGTAATTAAAATTATTTTAAATTCTGAAAACAGAAAGACTTATGTGAGATATTTATCCATTTCAATAATTATAAATTATTTTATTATTACCAAAAGCAATTGACCATTAGATTTACTGAATTTAGTATAATATATACTAATATATTGTATATACCTATTTCAATTTTGATATAATGTTGATATAATGTATTAATTGATGATAACACGCATGTGTTCATATAGTAAGAGCTTTAAGCATAAAAAACTTTACTTTTTTAACTAAGGTAAAATAAGACAATGATTTAATTTATATGATTTCCTCTACACTTATACATCGTCTTATACACGAAATATTAATTAACAATGATAGCAATTATATATAAATCAAGTTAAAAAACAAGTGCATATATATTCTTTTTATATTTCATTAAATATAAATTTTTAATTCTGAATATCATCAATTTGATCATAATTCTTTAACGGATATAATTTTTAATTATCTATAAATATATAATGCTTATGATAGATAATAATTGATATGAAAAGATCATTTATATTATATAAATATGAATATTATTAATATTATTTAATAAGAATTTTAATTTTGTAGTATATAACAGTTCGATTGACTAAACAGAATTTAAGCTTTAAACCATCGATAGGAATTTGTTAATTGTAAAAATCTAAGAAATATAAATGTATGCGTTTCACCAAAAAATAATACATTTATAGTAAGCAGTAAAAATATTAACCTGAATGTCATTTAGAGCATGAGTTATTTTTTGGATATTGAAGTGTAGGCCGGCTAACGCTGAGACTGGTTTATCTATAAATTTCGTTCTCCCAACGACTGCTTTGACTCGTTCCAACGTTTGACCATAATCCCGCCACATTTCGGCGCCCTGCTCAAGGCGCGCACGTTGCGATTTCGCAGTGTTCAACGTGTTTTTTAGTAGTTGGGTGTGCTGCTGCTGTTCCGCGCTCAACTCTTCTTGTTCAGATGCACTTAGAGATGGCCAGATTTTATCAGCAGCTTGTTGTATTTGTTGGGAAACAAGTTCGCGTATAGAGGCTTCGCTACTGAAATAAATCTACAAAAAAAAAAAAAATTAATATAATTGTATTCATTGTATTCACTTAATGTATAATTTTATAATCACTTTATGTAATATTAAACTAATATTGCAATATTTAAATTAAAAACTCGAACTAATTTAACTATCAATTTTTTTCTGCGCTTCATTCGTTTAATGGCAATTGTGCATGATTTACTTTTTGATACAATATTTTAAACAATCGAAGTGCAGGGGACAAAAATTTGATTATTTTATTATTTTCAAGTATATTTATTTACCTTGTGTTCTTCCAAATCACTGAGTATATTCTCAAAATCAAGACCTTCCTTATCACTTTCCAGTCGAATTTCAGCCTCTCGTACCCAATTATGTAATTTATCTGTCAGTATCGCATAGTCAACTCTCATTTGCATATTATTGTCTAAATAATTTTCACGTTCCTCCATTTCTCTAGGAAGTGATGATAATAATGATACTGCCTCGCTGAACATTTCTTTTAGAGATCCTGGCATTCCATCTTCATGCTTGATCGATTCTTTGATCACTCTAATATCATCTAAATATTTATTCACTTCGTCACATAAAATACCGTGCCTTTCAAGCTCAACTACAACACTTTCCGGTTGTCTATCTAACAATGGACGAGTTTTTATCTCTTTCTCTTTGCTTTCGAGGAAATCTAAAATATCAGCTAGTTTATTAGCTAATCTTTTGTGTTCTGCAACGGCAAGCTCGTGCTGTTCGCGTTGATTCTCTACAGCTCGTCTTAGTGTTTGTAATTGTTGCTTTAACGATTGTAGTTGCTCGATGACACTGTTTCTGTCAGAAGCCGAACCATCGACCACTATCTGTTGACCTTTATCCGTAGCACTAGCTAAACTTGCTTCGCACTCTTGAATTTTAATCATAACGTCATCGTATTTTTTAATCTTTTCCTCCGTAGTTTGGCCGCTTTGCTCAATATCTCGCACAATTTCTGTATACTTAGCAATGAATGTCGTTATTTCCATAATAAGAGCGATGAATTGCTGACGAAGGAGAAGTAATTGTCGCAGTTTGGCTATTTGAGCTTCAATAGAGCGAATTAGATCATCCTGTTGGCCTATAACATCATGCAGTTCTCCAACATTTCTGGATTGAAAATCAGAAAGCTTCGTTTTATTCAATTTTAAATCGTGTAAAATTTTTTCGTAATTTGCAAGCATTGCTTCAACGTCTTCAACTCGTGAGCCTATAGGCTTATTCAATTCCTGAAGTTGTTTTTGAATATTTGTCATGAATTTGATAGCCTCTGCTATATGAGCTGCTATTTCTTCAGCCTCGTTAATACTTTTTTGTAGAGTAGTCGTTCTCTCATTAATAATGCCTGAAACGCGACTATGAGCTTCTTTCATATTTTTTAATTGTTCACCGAGTTGCAGTTTGTCCACATCACTTACTGTAGGTAAAATAGATTTTCCTTGTTGGATTATTTTTTCAATGTCATCAGCAAATTCTTTAGCCTCATTCCTCAATCGATCATACTATAAAAATAATATTTTTTTAAACATACATTTGATATTTCACATGAAAATTAAATTGATTCGATATATGTATAAGAGTGAGTAATTGAGCGCGTGTGTTTATAATTTATTAGTAATAATATATTGTTTAAATTTTAATAATATATATATATATATATACAATTCTACGTACAATTATAACGTATATTAAAACTTAAATTTACATTAAAAATAATATTTATTATACAATTTTGTTGAATCTTGCAAAAATGTAGCCGATGAGTATTATTTTTTTTAATGAATTTAATTCGCCAAAAAAATTTTTCTAATAAACATACTTTTTAATGTATAATTAAATAAATCAGAAAAATTATGTTTTATTTATAGAAAATTTATTATAATATATTCTAACACATTATATATATATATATATATATATATATATATAGCACACTGTATAATATCAATAATTTTTAAATCAAAACATTAAATTGATATTGCAATATCAGACAAATTTCTTAGAAATTCAGAATGAATAATCTTTAATTCTGATTATATGTATCGACTATTTATATAGGTTAAATGTAATTAAGAAATGTTTTAAAGATATTTTAAAAAATTATTTAAAACATTTTTTTATTATAATTTACGATAATTGTATATTATATTTTTCGTAAATTTTGTTCATTTACTTACTTTCACTAATTGTTCTCGAAGTACGTCAATACCAGATGTGCGTATTTCAGATGATGTAGCAACTTCGGCCTCATTTATCCAGCGTTGACATTTATCCAAATCACTCTCAAAGACTTTTCTCCCTTGCAATAGATCAGCAAGCGCCGCTTGCTTTTCCTGGGCTTCTCTTTTTAATTCTAAATATTCGTCACTGACTTTGTCCAAAAGAGCTTGCAGTCGTTCGCAATCATCTTCATTGCATTCTCTCAACATTGTATTACCTTGTTTTAGAAGCTCTTTTAAGTTACCCTCACTGAAGCGTCTAATTTCCGATGCTAAGCCATTGTGTTGTGTAATATCCTCCTCAACCTTTGATGCTTGTAAGGGTAAATAACCACTGAGTTTTTTCAAATCGTTACTAGTTGCTTTTATCCACAATCTAGCTTTTTCAAGATCATTTTCCAATTTACGTCGAGTTTCAGCTGCAGCCATAGCTGTTGAAATTTCCTCTCGAAGAATGAAACACAATTCTGCATGCTCCCCTCTTAATAATCGTGTTTCAGCTTCTAATTTCTGCTGTTCGCTGATTTCCAATTCATTTTGCATATTACCAATACGCTTTTCCAGTGAGTCCGACATTACATTTTTACCTTCCGTTTCTTTTAACATACTTTTCAGAGCAAAAAGTTTTTCTTCAGCTTGACGACTTTCATAGCCAAGAGGCTCTGATGTACGTGCCAATCGCTTTTTCTCATTAATCCACTCACGATGCTCTTGGATTTCTCTTCGCGTTGCTTCTATACCTTGAGCTGTCATATCCAGCACAAGAGCTTTTCGATGAAGTTTTTTACTGATATCCCCATGCCTTCGTTCAACAGATTTTATTTGCTCCTCGATTTGTTGTGAGTCTAAATTACTAACGGAATCTATCACTTGATCTCCAAGCTTTCTAACGTCTTCTAACCTGATTACAAACAAACAAACTCTTCATAATTTATATTTCAAAATACATAATTAAAAAACAGCATATAAAATTGTATAGCAGTCAAATATTCGAGTTAACTAATTTTATTTTATATTATTATTAATAATATAGTTTACCTTTCAGGGCCTTGTGATTCGAATTCGGAAGTAATTTCTTTTAAGGTTGCAATCTTATGGTCAATAGTTGAACCGTTTCCTTTTTCAATAACATCTACCTTTTTCGACAAACCATCAAACCAAAATTGTATATCATGAACTTCGTTACGATATTTATGAATCAAGTCTTGTGTTGCTTGTTTCCCAGCAATTGCCTCTATAAGTTCGCTCTCCAGTTTATTCAGTCCCTCTTCAATATCTGCATCTTCTCCATCCGGACTTATCAAAAGTTCGGCTTCAGCACGACTTCGACGTTCTCCCATATTCCTTAACAAATCATTCATTGCTTGAAGCTCGGACTGAGCAGCCTCGGTACGTAATTTAGCTGGCCTTGATTTCCATTCTCCACACAAGCAGCGCTGCTGACTTATCCACGTTCTAAGAGCATTTTTTTCATAAGCTTGTTCTTCTAATTCATTGACTGCTTTTGTTACATTAGATAGATGTAATTGCATCTAAAAATATTAAATATCACACACTTATTCTTCAATAATTTACATAACGTTAAAATAAAAATTACATTTAAATTATATAATTCTTATGTATTTACAATAAATTCAGTATTGATATTTACGATAATCCATAAAATAACAATTTATATTAAATCTTTATTTTTATTTCCTATATATAAAACATTTTTTTTTTCTTAATAAAATATTTTACATTTAAAAACTACACTATTTTTATCCAAGTTTATAATATGTTTAAATAACGTAAATAATTGCATGATTACCGATACATTTATTTATTGTTTTTTTTTATTATTATTATTTTATTATTATTATTATTATTATTATTAATAATATTATTATTATTATCCATTATAAGATTATTCATTATTATTAAAATGATAAAGTTTACGATTCGATATAACATTTATTTTGAAGTATAAGAAAATATTTGTATCTACATAAATACATAAAAGAAATATAGATAAAAGAAATATATATATATATACATAGATATAAACCTTTTTACATAAAGTGTTTAATTTTTCCAAACAACCATTCTTTTCGATGCTATCAAGAATGACTTCGAGTCGTCGTGTCGCAGTACTGGTTTCACTCTGCAATAATCGCCAAAAATTAATAATATTTATATATACAATTTGAGAAATGAAAAATCATATATCTTATTACTTGAATAAAACAATACCTGATCGATCAATTCTTCTAAATGCGCGCGAACATCCATCTCTTTATCCGGTATGCGAATCGGCTGCACATCAAGCGGACTTCCGGGCCTTGCAACACAAGCAGCCGCGGCTTCGTAAGCCTCTACGGCAATTATAAGTCGAGCTTTCTCTCCTTGCAATTTATTATACAAATCTTTCGACGAGACCAAACTGTCTTTCGCAGATTCTAATGTATTTAGTATTTTTTGTTGTTCTATCTCTACTTCTGGTTCATAAATTTCCAAATTTTCCGTAATACTTTCGAGCGTCATTTCAAACTCACGAAATTTAGCTAAAGAATTATTTAAGCATTTATCAAATTGCAAAGCCATGTCAAGCAAACAATTATAACTGTCGCGCACATGTTGTAATTGAGTAAGAATCGTTGGTTTGATAGAAGAATCTGATGATTCGTATCTTTCAATTTGTCTCTGACCTTTTCCTTTCACATCATCTAGTACATTTTCATAATTTTTAATTTCATTAAGTAAAGCTTGGTGTTGTTTAATTTCGTCTAAAAATTGTTCTTCGCTAATGATATACAGTGAATTATATACAAGTAATTGAAGAGAGACGCGAAGAAACCATTTTTCTGTTTCTTGTAAAGCTGCGTGATATGCGTTGTATTCTTTTATTTCGTCTTCGATAAAATCTTTTTGTTTGTCAACTTGATCTTTTAATGATTCCCAGCGAGAACTCAAAGTCGTTGCTTGATTAAGAGTTGAATTGTCTTTCGCCCAATTTGACAATTCAGCAGCTTCAGTCATTATATGATCTAAATCAGCTTTTTTATTATGAACTTCATCCGTAACGTGCTTATATTTCTCGAGAAGTGTTTTCATTTCGCCGAGTTTTCCTTTAGTATCGTGAGGCATTCTCAAGTAATCTTCCGTTTTATCGAGCCACTTTTCAAAACGATCCTTTGTATCATAAAAATCTTCCCACCTACTAATTATTGCTTTAACTTGTGCCTGAATTGTATTTACGTCTATGCTCAGCTGTTCCCAGATAGATCTTAATTTAGACATATCAGTTCGTATCTCGTTTTGTTGTTCTGGAAGTGCAGTGTTAATTGCTTTTGCAAAAGCAGATTGTAGAATGGAAAGTAAATGTTGACCTTCGGTGATTCTTGTTGCAACAAGCTGAAATAAATTTTATACAAATATATTTTTCTTTCACATATTTAGGTTTATGAATTAGTATTTCGATGACGTTTTCAGTTGCAGCTTATTTCATAATCTAATTAATGCGCATTGTAAATAGCAAATAAAATAATAAAATTTAGTAATAAATTGCATTCGATAAAATTTTAATTATAATATTCAATATTCCTATTATTTTCTGGAAAGACAACTTTTACATACAAACAATTATTATTAGTAAAATGTGAAAATAATGTTATATATCTAATTTAATTTTATCGGTTTAAAAAGCTTCCAATATTATTAAATTATACAATCATCAATGTGTATATTATTAATTTTTAATTATCAATTGTGAAATAAAAAGTAATTAACATCGATTATTTTTAAATATTTGAGTCATATAGATTTAAAAATTTTTTAATACTGATTAGCATACAATATTTATAAATTATATGATAATTATTAAGCAAAGTAATTTATTATTATCTATGAATTACCTTTGTTGTTTCAAGTTTATCCTTTGCCCAAGCAACATTTCCCACGCCGATGCAATCATGAATCGAACCATGAGCTGTATTTAACCAATCTTCAAATTCTTTTTTTGCTTTTATGAATTCTGTATGGTCGGATAAATTTTTTTCAACTTTAGATACTAACCCTTGAGCATCTGTTAATAATCCCATATAAGTAGATTGGAGTAAAACAGTTTTCTCTCGTACCCAATTACAAGCACTCAATTCCATCAAAATTTCACATTTATCACTCAGATCTTCGACAATAGATTTCTGACGAATTGCTTCATCAACTAAAGCTTTGCATCTTTTGGAATCCTCTAGTGTTTTATTATCTTTTGTTTGTTCTTCGTTTATTTTTAATTGGAATTCATTACTCCATTTTTGTATACATTCAAACGCAGCTGTAAATTGTGACCAAGTCAAAATACAATTAGAAAGCATTTTTTCAGCCTCCTGGCAATGTGATTGTAATTGATTCCAGTCGATTTGTAATTGATTAACATCGTGGTTAATTATGTCTTGACCTTCTGGTCCCGTATTAGTAAGAACGGTCTCACTAGTTTGGATTACATTACAAATCAAGGATTGACCTTTCGAAAGTGTACATATCATTTGTTTCACTTTGCTTTCTCTTTCAATGATTTTTTCTTTTTCGCCATGGGTTATACTGTACTGTTGAAGATCAATTTTCGCTCGACGTACCCAGTCCGATGCTTCATTATATGCATATTGATATGTTTCATGTTCTTTTACTTGTTCCTCGAGACTCTATAAATAAGCAAATACTAATAATTATTCATTCTTTTTCTACCAACGTATGAGCACGCTATTAAATTATATTATTCCATTGAAAAAACTAATATTCGAAAATAGTTCAATATTAAACTGTACTCCTTATTTATTTATAAACATTTTTACATTATTTTTCAATAAATTTTTTAATAAATTCATAGTTGCGAATAATACACCGTTACGTCTATACTTCAAATGGTTTTATATTTATAATTATTTACTTGTACTTACTTGTATTTTTTGGCTAACGAGTTGACGAAGTTCTTCATATTTATTAAGAGTTGCAATATACGGATCTTTGGAAACGTTAGAATCGTTAACTAAACGGAGCTTAAAATTTTCTATATTTTCATTATGTCCCTGAATGTCTTTCTGAACACTTTTGTATTTCTCAAGTAGAGCTCGCTTTTCACTCAAATCATTTCGATAAACTTCATCGAAGAGAACATTGCTTTCTACTTCTTCCAACCAATCTGTTATAAGTCTATGCATTTTATTAAGCTCTTCTAGCACGCCAGCTCGAACAGTTAATTTTTGTCTTGTTTCATCAACATCGAATAGAAGTTTATCGAAATCTGTTTTTAAGTTTTCTGTATTTTCTTTTATTTTCACGGCGCCATTTTGTTCAGTATTCATTATTACTTTTTCTTTTAATTCCAATGCGTAACGTAATTTATTTTGTCCTTGCTCTAAGCTTTGACGTATCATTTTACAAGTGTGAAGTTTATTGTTAACTTCGACTAGCGTACTCGGGATATCTTTGCATTCGTTTAATTTGTCACGAGTTCTGTCGATCCAGTCTTGGCATTCTTGGTAAAGGGTATTATGTTGTTGATGTTCCTACATAAAAATGCATTAATTTGGCTTTTGTAATTATATTATAGCATTAACATTATAACTAATATTAAATTCTAACGATTAAAATTTAAATTAAAGCAATTATTTTTGTTTAAATACCTGATAATGCAATTCAAGGCGTCGCATAATTTCCTTAGCAAGTGAAAGTAGTGCATTATATTTTGTTGTTAATTGTGTGATTGCATTTGAAATACGCGTATCGGCACACGTTTCTAAAAGCATCTGAGCCCTCATGTTTAATTTGTCAAGTTCCTTTTGCCAATCGAACAATGTCTGGAGATGGCTTTGGAACTGTTCTAAAACATTTTTCTTTTCTTCCAAACTATCTTGTAATTTGTTAAAACTTTGAACTAATTTTTCCGTTTGAGTCAACCATTCAGTGGCCTCAGAAAACTGATCTTCGTATTCAGTCCATTTGACTATTCCCACTTCGAGCAAACTCTTCGTATTACCTAATGATTCACTGAATTGAAAAAATCATATTAAATTAATACTTCGAATGAATATTAATCATCTTTTGTAAAATATAATTTTTTTTTTTTTTTTTTTTTTTTTTAAATTTAATAACATAATTTAATCATTCTTTTTATATTGTATAATACTTACACGTAATTGTCAAATTCTTCTTGAAGGAGAGCAACTTCTTCTTCAATAATTTCTTTCTCTTCGTCCTCCGCTATTTGACAAGCAAGATTACCTTGTTCCAGTGCCTTTTCCAGTTTCTTTTGTCCCTCTAGAAGTTCGCTTTGAAGAACCTTCAACTGTGATATTTTACTGGCCAATGATTCTTTGTCCCCCGTTGGTTCAGAACATTTTCCAAGTCTTTCTTTAGCTATTCTAATCCATTGAATGAATTCATTACCGCTATCTATGAAAGCTTGATGTTGTTCCACAGTTTCCTTTTGCTTAGCGTAAAGCTCCTGTGCTTGTTTGCTTAAAGTTTCATATTTAATAGAAATTTCAGTAGCCGGTGTTGCTTGTTGAAGATCTTCAGCTTTTGTTGTTACCGATTGAATCATTGGTTCGAATGCAACAATATCTTGAACTATACTATTGGTTTGCCGTAAATTCGCTTTGCGTTCACCAATAGCTAACGAATTTATACCCGCAAGACCCTTTCGAGCTTTATAAACTTTTTGTTCGCAAACTTGCTGCAGTTTGGCCTCTCTATCATTAATCCATTGCTGTAATTGCGAATATGATGAACTATAATCAGCCCACTGAAGTAAACTCGTTTCTAAATGTACTTTCGATGTTGAAATTTTTTTCACTAATCGTTCCCAGTCGTTTTGAATGTCCTTTAATTGAATAGCAATCTCTTCTCGTCCATCGGATCTTATGAAACATAAATAAGTAGTTATTAAAGCTATATCTATAAAAATAAATCACAAGGTGATTTTATAAAGTATCTTTATGAGTTTGTATAGAAACGTATATGAAATATAAACAATATATTAAAAAAATTTACAAATTTAAGTGTATTATTTTTGAAATTTATAATTATATCAGAACGAAAGCTGCATTTTATAATTGTAGTTGTATATATATATATAAAAGAAAACTATGAAATTTTTTTATGTTTAACAATAAACAATAACATACTAAAAAATCAAGAAACAAATAGCTTAGTTTCACCTTGTGTTACGCATAACTTTTTCCCCAGAATTGACAGTAAGGTGCACAAGATTTTGACCTTCTTCACGTTTTCTTAGAAGTTCTTGAATTTTATCCAATCGTTTTTGAAGTTCTTCGCGACTACTACTCGACGCTGCTTCAGTTCCATGCCGTATAATTTTCTTAGCGTTTTCTATCCATTTATTGGTTTTTTCTAAATTCTTTTCATATTCTTTATGCTGAGCATAATTTATTTCTACCTTTTGCAGAACGTCTTTTGCCAAATTCAATTGCACTTGATATCGCGAATTCAATTGCCGTAATTGATTATTAACGTAAGTGTCTAATGGCGTTGAAAGCAATGCCGAAGCCGACTTATTAAATTTATCGATTTGATCTTGGCCTCGACTTAAATTTTTTAGAATTTCTTTAACTTCTTTCACCTGCTTTTCCTTTTCTTGTACATTTGACAGGAGCGAGTTTTTTTGAGCTTTTATAAGAATATCGAATTGTTGTAACCAATCGCTTATCCTTTCGTATTCATCTTTAAAGTCGCGCCATTGACTGACTGTCGCCTCCAATTGATTCTTTTGTTGCTTTATATCATTAAATAAATTTTCAAAACTTTCCGTGAGTGCGCGAATTTCATTGCGAATTATATTTTGACCCTCTGTACTTGTACTTGCACAAACAACTTCACCGGTATGTTGCAAGTGCTCAACAATCAATTCGCCTTGCGCCTTCTTCATCAAGAGACTCTGAAGTGGCGCAACAGCATTTTCAATGGCAAGCTTATCATTTAAGGAACGCTGCTTTACCGGCGGAATTTTTTCTCGTGCTCGATTTAACCATCCCATCAATTGGTCGTAAGCTTCCTTGTAAAGCCGATGATTATTGAATAATAATTTTCTTTCCGCCAATAGAGATTTTATTCTCTCGAATAAAATATCAAATCTAGAAATTAAAAAGTATATATTAATGCATTTTTTATAGAAACAGAAATTACATTTTATTAATTTTATATGGAATTTGATGATATGATATTAAAAAATTTTTTCAATATTTTAAATAATGAAAATTATTATTATAAATATTATTATAAATTTCATTGATAATATTTCATTTACTTGTTAAGAATTTCTTGTGCTTCGGAAGCAGCAATGCCTTGTTGTCCACTTGCAATCATTTCTGCAACCTTTGCCTTTAATCCATCAACTTCAATGTTTTCACAGCGCACCTTCTCTTCTACGACCTTAATTCTTTCTAATTGAGAGCGTTTTTCACTCATAGTAGTCTGAAACGGCAAATTTTCGTCCAAAGAAGCTTGTACATATTCCACTGTTTTATTTATCAATTGAATTTGCTCAAGTAGGCCAGCCCATTTATTTATCGAATCGTCTAAATGAGTTTTAGTCTCTAACATTTTAGAAGCCAATGAACTCCATTGTTCTTGGATTTTTACGACTGCATCATTGATTACTTCATGACCTGCTGGTGCAGTGTTTGCTAAAACTCCCTGAGCTAATTCTACAATTGTTTGAATCTAATTATAAAAAAAAAAAAAAAAAAAAAAAAAAATTAAATTAAATGATAATTATAACGAATCGTATAATGTTTATTATTAATAATAAATATTTATATTACTGTATTACTTTTGCAAATCCGTTTTCTTTGTAAAGCAGTAAATCCTGAATGATTTCCATTTTTTTTTCAAGATCTTTTTGTGATGAAGCACTAAGATCTGCACAATACGCTAATTTATCACGAATTTCGTCAAGCCAGCGGACACATCCAGATAATTGATTATCAAACTCTTGATGACTCATTACGTATTGCTGCCACCGGGTATTTAAATCTTTCACTTTACTTGATATATTTTGATATTTAATGCCTAATTCGGAAATTTGAGAATTTCGCGATAACTGTTTGTGCAATTGATGAGCTCGTTCGGTCACAGCATCAATTTCCAATTCCTTCGCTCGAACTTCTCCCTGTAAGTTACGAAGCTTTTCCAACTGATCTTTTTTTTCTTCCAAAATTGATTTCAAATCTACAGCGTGAAGTTTCATATCTGTATCACGAATCCAAGCGAGGCAGCGCTCTTTAGAAAGTTCAAATTCGTTCCATTGTTGTAGTTTTGTTTCAAGAGTATCTATAGTTGTTTTTACAGTTGAAACTAATCCTTCCCATTCCTGTTGCGATGAATCAACTTGCGAGCGAATATTGATTTGTCCCGATTCTAAAGTGCCTGGAATAACCTTTTCTCCAAGATTTCTTATTTGATGGATTCTTGGCTCATCTTCGGGTAAACTCTTTAGAAGATTCTGAAGTCTATCAAGATTCGTATGTAATGATACTCGTTCAAGGTCAACATCACCCCACATATTAACAGCGTTTAATGTCGCATCGAGCCATTCGTGAGTATCAAGAACGGCTTTACTGTATTGTTGATGGTCACTCACAATACCTTCGTATCTGAAGAAAAATATAATTTCATTACTTTCATGGCATTATATTATATTTATATATTAATATTAATGTTAGTATTTAATTATAATTGTCAATATCTTATATACTATATGATATTATACTATATGATACATTATTTATATATCTCTATATATTTTCTCTCTCTCTCTCTCTCTCTCTCTCTCTCTCTCTCATTCTATCTTACATATATTCTTCATGTGTTATTATTATTTAATTTATATCTTTTATCACATGTTATTATAATTTTATTATTATATAGAGGATTAAATTCAGAAATATTGAGCTCAAATTTTCTTTATTGCATTCTTGTCAATTATCTAATTATTTATAAAATGTTACTAATACTAGGAATTCTAAAACCACATGCCGATCTTATGACAATTATTTTATAGTATAATAATAATATTTTCAAAGTCAAATTTGTCATTAGAGATATATTAAGTGCTCGTAGCTGTATGTACTCATCACATGGAAAGTGAATAAATAAAAATGCATAAATTTTCGAATTATACCTTTCAACAAATCCAGCGGCGCGTTTTAATATAATTGCGTGTCTCCTGTTTAACTCATTTAAAACTTTCTCTATTTTTTCTGTGCATTCAGGAAGACAATCCGCTTTATCTCTTAAGTTAAATAAGTCTTGTTGATGTGTTTGAGCATCGTGCAAAAATGTTCTATAGATTTGTAACTGAGCTCGTTTTTCATCTAAAGTTGTTTTTAATTCGATATCCGATTTAAGATCAATTTCAGCATTTTTCAACCATTTTTCGAAAGATTCATTAGACTCGTCAAAACCGGTCCAACTCGATAATTTTGCCTGTGTTTCACGCTCGGTGAGCATAACGTTATCATAAAGTGTTTCTAATGACTGCTGTAGATCCAAAAGTTGTTGGCGAATAATCTCACGACCCTCGTCACCAGTGCTTGAATAAAGTTGTTCACCGGCTTCAACGGTACTATTCATTAAGATTGTTATTGAAGATTGTCGATTAAGAAGATCATAGAGTGTTTGAATGTGAGTTGAAAGTTCTTGACGAGTGCCAAATAAGTTGTTGCGAGTGGATTGGTACAATTGCTGAGCTGTTGTTAAGCGTTCCGAACATTGTTTGTATTTATCAACATAAACCATATGATCTGTTAATGCTTGATCACATTTTTTCACCAATTTCTGTAATAATTAATACGAATTGCTGATAAATTTTTTGTAACGATTCCTAATGGAGAATCGTGCTAGTTTAATAGTAACTAATTTGTAATTGTATTAAATGAAAGGAAAAATTATTTTTTATTGTTTATACAACGATACACATAGAACAGATTTTATTTAACTGTACATATGTATATATGTATGCCAAAATATATCGAGTTGTTTTTAATTTAATAATTTCTAAAAGTAAAGTTGTGTTTCTTTTTACGTGCTAATGATGAAAAAACAATATGCTTAAACAAAAATGATAATATTTAAGAAATTTATATTTAAAATATTCCTTATTTATTTAAAAATATGATAAAAGTAACAAATATTAATTTAATTTTTTTTTATATAAATTTCGCTTGAAATTGTCGCTGTGAAAATGACTGCTTTTACCTTGGTGGTAGTTTGAATCGATTGAAATCGTGAAGTAATTTGCTGAATACTAACAGAGAATCTTGATTCTCCACTTATCAGAATTAAATCAGAAGAATCGTCGTTCATCTTGTCGAATTCGATTTCATTTTGACGAAGATGAACAAGCAGCGTCTAGAATAACAAAAATTAATATTAAAAAGTATTTCTAAAAGTATTTTAATTTTACATCCTTGCTTCCCATAAGATACGTTCGAAATGCATATGAAATAAGAAGATAAATGAAATAGAGAACTTTTATTTGCAAAAATGAAATCGTAGAAATTAAATGGTATGAAAAATTACAAGCATGGCGAACTTGGAAAATGAATTTTGACATGAAATATATAGATTGCCGAAATAGAAAATAAAAATGCTGAGACAAGGTTTGATAGTCTACATATTCAGTAGTCTTAAAGCTTCCCCACATTTCTGAAAGCTCAATAGATGGCGATAAGATCAAAAGAATAATGAACAAGCCTAAACAATTTCATCCAAAGAATAAGAAAAGTGTCAAAAGATCAAATTGCTACAGATCGAGCTGAAAAGCTTGAGAGATCGCGATTGATTCCCTTACTTGCTCGAGATGGTCACCGAGTGCCACGAATTCCAAGACATCCGCATTGCGAGATTCCATAACTTTTTGAAGGTCCTAAGGAATAAATTTTGAAAAAAAACAAAAAGAACTTGATTCGGTAATTTTATTCAAAATTTTAGTATGAATTAGTAATCCAATTATTCATATTTAAATATGTTTTGTACTTGATAAACTGACAATTGCTTGATAAAAATTTCTAATATTTTTTAATATTAATATTATTAATTAAATAAAAAATCTTCATAGCTTCTCTCATTTACCTGATAAGTTTCCAATTGTTCTTGCTTTTCTTCAACTGTATTTTTCAAACAGTACTTTTTTAACAGTGTTTCTGCATGTGATAACCATTTCAGCAATCTCTCTAACGAATTTTCATACTCATTCCACTGTTGAATTCTTTCCTCTATACAGCGAACAGCATCGCCAATTTCATTAGCGAATTTCTTACTTTCGAATCTAAATAAATGTTTAATAATTTTCTTTAATCGTTATCGTAAAACATTCTTTCTTTCTTTTTTTCTTTCTTTCTTTCTTTTTTCTCTTTTTTTTTTCTTCTTTTTTTCCTTTTTTTTTCTTTTAAGCTTAAGTTTAATGATTTTCTGTATAATATAACATTAACGGTTGAATAAAAATTTAATTAAGTACCTAAGATTATTGAGGTCTCTTTCCATCGTTTCGTACGATCTTGCTGATACAATTCCTAAACTTTTAGCTACATGCTCATCTAAGACATTTAACTTCACTTCTCCTTCATTTAAATTGTCTTGAATTTCAATAATTCTTGAGAGTCGAGCTTGTAAAGCTGCTTTGTTTCCTGTATAGTCATTATAATTACCCAATTTATCCCATTGTTGTTTTTGATAGTCTTTATACGTTTTCTCCAAGTCGTGGAACTGCTGAAAAATGTCCGCTACGGCCTCTATGTTCGTTAATTCTTTTAAGGAAGTTTCTAATAATTTCTCATATCTTTGGCAAACGGACTTGACTTTATTTTGAATATCAATCGGGGCTTGAGAAATCTGGGTCAATGAATTTGCCTTTTCCGAAACGCCTTCAATGATTCGTTTGTGAGCAAGTATTTCTTGATGTGTAGTCTATGTCAACAGAAAGCAATATTTATGAAATAATTCTACATATATTATAAGTTTCAAGAATTTTCAGTAAATTTGTATTCTATCTGAAATTATTTCATACGATTTGCAATTAATGTTACAATAATTAATGTATGATATAATCATATTACCTTGCATTTTAGCAGCTTTGATCTTATCTCTTGAAGAGAAGATGGGATGGTTGACGTTTCATGTTTTACATTACGTTCAATATTATCAAGCCAAGTAAGAATTTGTTGAAGAGTTTCTTGATAGCTTGACCACTGCAGTGACTGTAAACCCTGCTTTTTTTGTTGTTCAGAAATTGCTTCTGCAAAACTGTCCCACCTTTCACGAATACGTCTAATTTGTTGTCTAATAATTTCACGACCTTGTGCTGAAGTGTCGGGTAAAATTCGATCCCCTGCTACTCCAAGTGCTGCCAAACGATGATTTCCTTGTTCTCGCTCACTCACGAGTAACTGCAATTTAGAATTCTTTACTTCGGGACTCTCTATCGTTTCTTCAGTTCTCAAAGCAATAAGATGTTGTTCTAATGAAGTCAGCCACGAATCGACATTGGATAATTTCTCGTCGTAAGATATATGGTCGTCGACAATAGCTTCACATCGATTAATGACATCTTTACTAAGAGATAAAAGTGATGTATATCTGTAATCATAAAATAGAATTATTAAATTAATATTCACGCGAATGTTCTGTAAATAAAGTGAAAATTAAAACTAATAATACCACACCTATTGCTTATTTGCGATATTAATGGCTTAATTCTTTCAACGCCACTTGAGTTGAGAAGCGCATGCGATCTATCAACGAATTGATCGATTTCATTTTCTTTGTTCAAAATTAATTCACGCTTTTCTTTAAATGATGCGTAGCGCGATTGCTTTTCTTTTAATGCTGGCTGTAGTTGTTGATCTCTAAAGGCAGCCTCCATCGAACGAAACCACTTCATATATGATTCTAATGGCTCTTCAAACTCTAACCATTCTTTTAATATATTATTCTGCTTAGCCTCCACAGATTCTTGTTGTTTTATTTAAAAAGATGAAATTTTTGACGATAAAATATTTGTTACGAGATGGGTATTGTTAATATTAAAAAAAAAAAACAAAAAAACAAAAAAAAACAAATCAATAATAATAATAATTTTAAATGCCAACCTACCAATATCTTTCAAATGTTGTGCTAAACTCATTTCAATGTTAGTAATTTCATTTTTTATTATTCCTTGACCTTTGGGAGCTGTATTTTTTAAAATAATTGTAGCAAATTCCTTTAGTTTCTTTATAAAATCGAAACCTTGATTTCGTCCATCTTTGAGAATTGATAATGTCATTAACCTTCTAGAAATATCGGTTCTTTCACCGGTCAAATCATTACATTCTAAAAGTTTTTCTTTCTCTCCTTGAAGCCAATCGGTAAAGGCTTTACATTGGACGTTAAATTTGTTATGCTTGTCAGCACAATCTTCAAGATTATTTAATAAATCACGCGATTTAGAAACTATATTATTGAATAGCTGTTTGATGGACTGTAAATAAATATTTAAAGAAGTATCTTTCGTTTGATCGACTAATTGTCGAGCTTTCTCACATACGGATTCGACGAGGGCATGATGAGACATTATTTCTTGATGCATTATTTTATGATTCTGCAATTGAGCTCGTTTTTCTTCTAACGTTGACTTCAATTCGGTGTGTTGATGCATTGCATGCTCTACATCGCGTAACCATGCGGATAATTGTTCTTGCGATGAAGAAAATTCAGCGAATTGCGTCAAACACTGATCTAATTTTTGCGCGGTTGTCTGCAAATCATCTGAAAAGGTATCCCACAATGTACGCAAATTTCTCAATTGCTGACGAACAATTTCTCGGCCATCCGGTGATGTGTGTGTATAAAGTCTTTCGCCGAGCTCAATTACTGACTCAAATTTGGGATTTTCTTTTGTGCGCGTATCGCCGAGATTTCTTATGACTTTCTGTCGTTGCTGTAGCACAGTGAGATCGCCAACAATTTCACAATGCTGTTTTAATTCAGTATTCAATTTTTTAATACAATTAATGAAATTATTGTAACATTGGTTGAAAGTGCTATGTTCTTTAACGAATTGTTCGTATCGGCACACAGTTTCTCGAGCTTGATTTTTGAGAGCTTGATACTTTGTAGATTGTTTTGATATCCTCGTGACTAATTCAGATTCAGCTTCGATATTTTGACTTTTTTCTGTTGCCGAATTAATTTCATAAGCTTTTTCAATTATTTCCTGTTCTAACAACTTCAATTTCTCAAGATGAGAAGCCTTAAGCTCTTCTGTACTTTTTAAGCTTTGATCTTTAACTTGTGATTCCATATTTTTCATCCAATTTTCAAGTTCTTCTACGATCTTTTGAAATTCTGACCATTCGTCAAAGAAGCGATTAAGTTTCTCTCTAAACGTAGCACATCGTGCCAAAAACTCGTACCAAATTTTCTTTTGTTCTTCAAAAGCCTGATTCAGATTCCGATGACCTATAAATTTATTGTAAACAATTTAATTCGGTATGTAATATTAATTATAGATTAATTATTAAACGAAAATTTTACCAGAGATCGCTGTCTGTTCCAAAATAATGTTCAATTGTTGATTACATTCGTTAATAATTTTATCCCCTTGATTTTTTTGTTTCAAAACATTTTCTATCAAACCGATACTCGATTTCGCTGTTTCACGCTCAATAACGCGATCGTCGAGTAACGCCGAGGTTTCGTTAACAATTGAATTTATCCAGTCCCGCATTTTCTCAAATGTTTGTTGATAAGCTTCGTGATTGGCTACATGCTTTTCTGCAACATTAATTCTACCCACGAGATCCTCGGACAATTTTTCATAAGATTCTATCACGTTATTGAGCATTGAATTAGACTCGTCATCTGGGATTGTTCCCAATCGTTCTTGTAATTGTTGCAAAATGTGCTTATGAGCATTCACATCTTGAGCAATTGTTCTATACGAATGAAATGCCAATTTTTTTTCTTGCAGAGTTGAAAATAATTCTTGTTTATTACCTAATTTAGCTTGTGTATCTATTACCCATTGCTTAACCTACATAAACATTTGTAGTATAATATTTTTTAATAGTATTATATTTAAATAAATCATAAATGGCATACAATTATCATACATACTTGTGAGAATTTATCTTCGAAAGATGATCTATGCATCATGTCGCTTTCAATTTTTTTATATATGACATTTGCCTTATCTGTTAAAGAATCCAATCGGCTTCGAAGATTTTTTAACTCTGATCTTATTGTCTCTCTATCGTCCAAATTAATTTTTGAATACAGAGCCTCTCCAGCTTCGGCAGTGCTATTAAAAAGAATTTGGCCCTTTTCACGCTCCTCTCCAAATAATTTCAACTCTTTAAGTCTCACTTCGTAAAACGTTATCGGTTTCGGACCCGTACTACCTTCATAGATTTTCAACTTTTCCTCAGCTACAACAATCCAAGAATCTAATTGTTTTACATTTTCTTCGTATTCATTCCTGTTTCTTTTCAATTGCTTCAATTTGTCAAGATTCTGTCCTATAAATTTTTCAACCGCTTCGTATCTAGCGTATAAATGATTAACATATTGTTCAACCCGAGAATCTGGATTGACCTAGAATCAATAAAAAATAAAGAATATTTTAAACTTTTTAAAAGCATAAATGTAAAAACAAGTATAATGACTGGATACGTACATCTGTAATTTCTTTACTGAATGCTATTAGTTGTAAGATTTCCGATTTATTTTCTAAGAATGATTTTTTAAACTCGCTAAGTTCTTTATATTTATTTTCAATTTCATATGGAATTAAAAGTACCGAACTTTCTACTCTTACTTTATTTTCAGCTATTTTTAACCAAGATAGAGTACTATCTGACATAGCTTCATACTTTTGCCAGGTAAAAATATTTTTTTCAAGAATTTTTTCAATATTTATATAGCACAATTTAAGGGCTTCCAAATCTATATGAATTCTATCACGTTCGGCTCGAAGTACTTTCAATGTCTCTGGACTTTCAACTTTTTCCAATAGTGACAATGACATGTCTGTTTCATGTTTTTTTACATCACAGTCATTGATATCTGCCTGGACATCTTTTAACGAAGCCAACTTTACTTCCAAATTATACCTGTCACTGCTCTGCTCAGGCTCACACCACATGACTTTTTCTTTATTTGTCGTAACTATTCGTTGTAAGGCATTGAATTTTTCACGATAAGATTTCATTAAAAAGGCAGTAAGAGTTGCATTTACCTAGAATAATTTTTAATTAGTAAAAATATTAACAATACGAAAGATAAGTGTATCTAAAGAGAATGCAATTATCAATATATTGAACTAGAATATATCAATAGAGTAACTATGTTTGGGAAAATTTTATCATGTATATAAATTTTAAATTATTATAACATTGGCTGTTACAATAAAATTAAAAAAAAAAAAAAAAAGAAAACAATGATGAAAATAATAAAAGAAAAAGAAAAACTACAAAAATTTCTTTTCCAAATTATTATTTTTAATTATGTTCTACAATACAATGGAATATTAATGTATCCTAAATGGCTACATTTCCTATACAATTCAAAAAAATATAAAATTGTTATTTTTTCTTCTTTTTTTTTAATTATTCGTCGTTTTCAATTCGTTCAACCAAACATTCACACAAATTATTCGCCTTTAATAGTTTATTTTAGGTTTTAACTGTATATATTTTACGACTTACTTTGTCAGCATGACTAGCAATCGTATCTCGTCGTACTTGCAATGATTGCAATTCTTTAGGTAAACTTGATTTTAATATCGACGGATATTCTACAGATAATTCTGAAAGTTGCTCATTTGCCTTTTCTAAAATCGAATTGCAAGTGTATAATTCAGTTTTGAGATTTTTGCAACGATTAATTCTTTCCATAATTTTCGAACTTTGTCCAGTAAGATCGTCACATTTTATAATTTCTTCGCGAATATTAGATATCAAATCACTCGACTGTTTCAAATTTTGACGTATATTTATTTCTTTATCTGCAAAGCTAGATGTCAATTTTTCTAATGTATCTGCCGATTTATGAACTAGCTTGAATTGTTCATCTAAAAGATTATTCAACGATGTTAGTGTTGGTATAGTAACTCCATGATTGAGCTTTACAAGTTGTGCAGTTTTAGATAAGATTCCTTGTTGCAGTAACTCATATATTGGTAGTTCTTCTCGAAATTTCAGCAATCTTGCTTTACTATTGTCAGCGTCTATGAAACATTCGATAGCTACCTTGAGATATTCATTAGTACCATTTAACCAACTTGTTAGATCATGTTTTGCCTCATCTATTTGTTTCCAAATTATTGCTTGGGTTTCGTATAATTGAACTTTTTCCATAATATGGGAATACGTATCTTGATATTTTTTATGAACAGCTTCGACATTTAATTCGATAGAATCAATATGGAAACTAGTCATTAAGGAAGCTTCTTTTATAATTTGTTGTGTTTTAGAATCCATTTTGTCGAAATATGGTTTTCCTTTCTTTAACGTTTCAAATGATTTTCTATACTTTTCAATAGCAAATGTAGCTTCCGTAATATCATTCGGTATGTCTTTGACAGTATTACAAAAATTTATTGATTCATCGACCAAAATTAATAATTTTTCTCTAGCTTCTAAATATTGCTTCCAACCTAACAAAATAATAAATCATTCGTATTAAATTTTGTAAAAAAAAAAAAAAAAAAAAAAAAAAAAAAAAAGGTTATTCTAAGAATGTAAAATTACAAACCTGCTTGAATGCCAGTATATTTTTTCATTTGTTCCTGCAAAAGCTCGTAAACTTTTTCCCAATTAGAATCGACAGAAGCTAAGGCAACTTGTATATTTGTCATAGATTGTTGATCTTCCTTCAATAATTCAGAACCTTCTTGATGTAAAGTTTCTTTTTCTAATAATAATTCTTGATGCTCCTCAATTAAGCTAGAAATTTTCTCAATAGCTGGCGCAAGTTTTTCGCAGGTATTAACATTGTATGTTACATCTTGTAAAGCTGTTTGTGTTCCAATAATAATTTCCGTCAGCTTTTCCTGCAATTTTCTAAAATTATCCCATCTCGTACTAAGGTTTTCAAGTTTCTCACGTTTTGACATTAAGGTACTTTCTAAAGAAACAATTTGAGTTTCTAAATTATTTATGAGCAACGCAGCCGTTAAAGGCTTTCCTTGCTTATCGCGTATTTGAATACCTAATGCATTATCAATAACTGGTATTTGCTCTTTCCAAATATTAATTTTATTTTGAACATTTTTAAGCTCATTCGAAAGTCTCTCGCAATCATCAACTGTTGATTTTCGTGCTTCCGCTTCGTATTTATAGTGATTCAATTGAGCAATTGCTTCATGGCTCCAATTTAAAAGTTCGGTCCATTTTTCTAAACCTTTTTTCTTTAATTGTAAATTATCTTCCAATCCTTTATACTTAACAGCAAGTGATGTATACATTTTATCAAGATTCACAGCTTCCTCGGGTAATCCCTGAGTACAAAGAGACTTTACTTCTTCATATATTGTTGCAAAGTTTGACTGTTTTTCAGAATACTCTTGGAGATAAGCATGAACGGTTTGTAAATTAAAATCTACATTATCAATATGTACATCGCTTATTTCTGCAGTATTTTCACGTAAACGACTCATCCAATTTTCAAAATCGGAAACCCTCATTTGAAATTCATTTCCAGCTAAAACGGCGTCAGAAGTACTATTAATATTATGCCGGACAGAGTCAGCAAGCTTGTTAACGCGTGTTTTCAGTTCAACAATGCGACCTTTTAATGTAGTGGCCCCTTCAATTGATAACCCATGACTTATTTGATCGCAAACTTGAGTTAGTGTAATCAATTGAACTTGTTTATTGGATATTTCCTTATTAAGATCCTTCAAATGACCTAATTCCTTTTCTAATTTATAGATATCCAGTGATTGAGTATTGACTTCATTTAAAATTGATCTCTCAGACATTTCCACCCAATCATGAAATTCATTAATATCGTTCTCAAACGTATTCCAAGACGATATGAGTTTCTCTAATTTTGTTTTATTTTGAACAGCTGTATCATGCACAGAATTCCATTGACTATGTATTGCATCAACTTCATCGGGTGCGCTAGTTCGATTGCCAAGTTGATGGCTAATTCGTATCAAATTTTCAAGTCTTGGTAAATGCCTAGAGCATTGCTGTTCGAAAACTCGCGTAGTATTAAGCATTTGTGTTGCTTGCTCGATAGTCGCTGGCTTCGTAACAAACGTTGCCACTTCAGTTTCAGACTTTTCAATCCATGGTTTTAATTTTTTAATTTCATTTTCATACTCTTTCCACACTGATAGATAACGAAAAGCTTTTTCACGCTGATCAGTGATATTTTCATTCAATGAACTGACAGATGATTTCAAATTCTTGATATTAGCAGATAAATGTTGGGCTTCTGGTTTCTTATCATTCTCTAAATAACATAAAAGGTATTAATAATTTATAAACGTCCATAATATATTAGTAAAATTGTAATAATCCTTACCTTTTATAAGAATGTTCGATTCTTCTTCAATTTCTTTTATTGTCGTTATTTTTTCATGAACCTGATTATATAAAATTTCTATTTTAGATACTCTTTCTTCTGGTGACATTGTCAGAGCCTTAATGTCTACTATAGATTGTGGTACGATTTGAGACGTCCAGTTATATAATTCTCCAATTTTTGATTGGAAATTTGTCCACTGTGATTGTAAATCCTGTAATTCTTCAACTCGTTGTTCTACTCTCTCTAATAAATCGTGAACTTTCTCTTCTGCAATTGATATTTCTTCTTTTAATTCACTTTCAATTTCAGGAACAGTAATTTTAACCATATTTAAATATGTTTGATGTAAATTTTTCACCATATTTACTGCACTTTTACGAATAAATGAGCTAAGTTCTTGTTGGTGTTGTAAATCGGCAGAAACTTGAGAAGAATTATAATAAGTAGCTGATTCTAATTGCCTAAGATCATCTTCAGCTTGTGCAATCAATTTGAAAATTTCATTTTTTTGCTCATCATATGTATTCCATAGTTTTTGTGAATTTTTCAATGTATTCAAAATTTCAATATTTTGACCGTATGTTTCATTCCAATTAATTTCCAATTGTTGTACTTCGGAAGAGACAAAGTTTGGCGTATATTGATCTTTAAGAAGATCTTTTCCACGTTGTAACATACTAACTATATTTGCTCGTTGTTGCTCAAGTTGATTCAAGCAATTTTCTTGATGTCTTAAAGCTTTTCTTAAGCTTTCAAGACTTTCTAAGCCAGATACTTCAGTAGTTTGATCGCGAACTTTATGAAGAAGTGTACAAACTTCACGTACTTCCTTTCTATATGTGTAACTCTTTGAATAAATATCTGTTTTAGTCATTGTTATTTCTATGGTTGGTATAAGATTTTTATAGCGAGTAATAAGTTGTTCAAGTTTAGTTTGCTCTGCAGTAGCTTCCTGATCACAACGATTAGATATTAAACTATCTAATGTTTGAACCAACCACTTCATTTCTTCACGTTTATTATCAGCTTCTTGGCATACTTTCTGTAAACAACATATTCATAATTTATTTAATTTTCGATATTTAAAAATATTCGTTTATAATCTTGATATATATTTAATATTCTAAATTCAATACATATATTTACCGTCAAAAATATAATAATTAACAAATTTCATTCTTTTTTTTAATTAAATAATGAGATATTAATGTGTCATATTTTACCTGAAAAATTGATTTTTCTTTCTCGAATTCTTCTAGAGAAGATACCTCGTGCAACGTTGCTCTTAAAGTATCATCGACATGATTCATCCATATTACCATTTCATCAAATCTATATTTAAAATTAAATAAAACTATTTAAATAAGTGACTAGAAATATATTTTCTTATACATAATTGATGATGAATTTTTATACCTTTCTTTATAAGCTGCCCATTGTTGTGGAACCTGACGTAATTGCTCTCGAAGGGCTTCAATTTTCATAGTAGTTTGCTCCCAACGACCCTCGGCATTGTGCACCATTTCGCTCAAGCTTGTATCATCCGACTGAATAGTCGAATAAGCTGTACTAGTCTTCTTCAGTGTTTGCAATGAACGTTCAGCTTTAATTAATATCTCACGATTTACAAAAAACTCTTTATTCCTCAATAAAATACGCCCAAAATCTTCGTTCTTCATCATTGCCTGCTGTTCATTATTAATCTCTATTTCTATTTCTTTTACATATTGGGAGAATGTTATTTCATCAAGTCGAAATTCAAGTTTCATTAAATGTAGTGGAGCAAATGATAAGACATTCTTCCATCTATTTTGTAGTGAATGAATAGTTTCATTTAATGATGTTTGATGTTCTAGAGGCAAAGCATTTCTTAAATCCTGGGCTACGTTAACGAGATCGTGAATCCATCTATCATTTACTTTTTCAAAAAAGTTTTTATGATATTCGACAGATTGACGATTATCTATATTTTTGTCATTAATAAGAGCTTCTGCCGCCGAAAGCCATTCAGATATTTGTCTTTCGCAATCTCGAAATTTCGACCAGCAACGTACAGCTTCTTCTAAACGCTGTTCCCATATTTGAGCTAATTGAGAAACTTTAGAAAAACGTTCATTTAAATCACTAAGCATGGAACTACTTTCAGTTTTATCAATCTTCTTATGCGCATCGACAAATTTAACAATATTACTAACAACTTTATTTTTTGATTCGAGCATTGACTTGTAGTATAGCTTTCTGGAGAAAAATGCCTTGTGTCTTTCTAATTGTAAAAGAGCTAAGTCTCGACCACCAGATAAATTATAGTTATTGAGTAATTGCTCTGCATCGTCTAACCACATTGATATTTCACGCTGCCCAGCTTCTAAGGATTCTTGTTGGACTAATATTTGATGATATAAATGTAATTGCATAGGAATCGATGCTCGAACTCTAACTAAAGTTTCTTTTTCTTTTTTTAATGTATTCATCATTTTATCAACCTCTTCTCGAGATAAATCTTGAATCAGTGTTTGAAACTTTTTACTAACATCTTTAAAAAGTTCTTCGATTCCTTCGATCTCTTTGTTGAAGTTTTTAAGGCGATCACCATAAGCTTTTATTTTTTCTGTAGATGTCAATTGTGATGTTGAAAGTACAGTTTCAACACTCTTTAACCACTTTTGAAGATTTTCTATGCCAGATCGATAATCTTTCCAATTTCGAAGAAGATCGCCAGCATGCATGTATTGTTTAGTTTCTTGAAAAAGTCGTTCCCATCTTATACTTAAATTACCGTAACATTTTTTTAAACTTGAAGCAACCTTGATGTAAAATAAAAATAAATATTTTATTATACAATTATCTTATCATTATAAGGTATAAATGACTCGTTTCAATAAACTTATCACAAGAAAATGATATTTAATTTCAAAAGTAAATTATCATAATATGTACTTAAGTTAAGAACTTATAAGTCATATAAAGTTGTAAAGCTATTAATATAACTTATTATATAAATTTACATTTCAATTACCTCGTCTTCCGAAGTTGCAATTAATAATTTGACAATATCTGAAAGTTGTTGATATTTATCTTTCCAAACGGAAATATCTTGAAAAAATTCCATTTTATGTTCCTCTGGGAGACTGAGGGTTGGCTCTGCTTCAATTAACCACGTTTCAAATTCTTTCGATAATGCAGACCATTTTTGCCAAGCAGTAACAACTTCTTCGAGCATACTCTGTACACAACGTAAATCTATCGAAATATATTTCCATTTATCTCCAGTTTCTCTCACAAATCTATCAACGCTCATACATTCTTCGTAATCTGAAAAAAAAAAAAAAATATCCACTTAGTTTATATGCTAATTCAATCTACATTTAAATAATTTATTACAAATGAAGCAACAATTATTATTTAAAATAAACATACCAATATCACCTTCCTTTTTATAGTCTTCAGCAACTTGTTGCATATCTAAATAAGCCTTTTGAAATTCGTGGAAAATCCGATTTTTCGAAATAAACTTCTTATACTGTTCTAACATATGCTGAACTTCATCTTCACTACCATATTTTATACTCCAATTTTTAAGCTTCATTTCTACAAGATAAAGAAAGGCCACAAGACAACATTTATGTTCAAGGAATTTTAATTGTATTCGTCTCTTCGCCGCACAAGATGGAAGACTTTCTAATCTAAGTAGGATATTTGTTAATTGTTCATTTGATACTTGTTTCGTTAGTAATAAACATGATTGCGCATGATTGAATTTTTCAAGAATACGAGAATGGTCGGCAAAGAACTTTTTGTGCATTTCGAGCTTTTGAGAAATTATGCTCGCAGTGGCTTCTGTCATCTCTTCGGGTATATCGTCGTCAGAGTGCAAGAGAGATTCACCGTGAGCAAGCCATCTTCCAACTTCACCTAATTCACCAAATAATGATGAATCAAGTGACCACAGCCATCTTAAAATCTAAAAATGAGAGTATTATTTAGGAGAAAATTTGGTTAATTTAAATAAAAATGTTGTATTACTACAAACAAAGATTTTAAAGTATTTAAAAAAAGTGTTTATATAATTATGAATTAAATAAATGCAACTGTTTTTGAAATATTTTATGTCTTCTTACATATTTGCTGATGCATAAAAATACATTTGGGTGACATTGATAATAATAATATAATTCAACTTACAAACATTTGCAACATCTTCCATAAATTCTGTATATGTTTCCAAACTTCTTGAGGTATATTCGTTACACTTGCAACATCGATTAAATTTTGAATTTTGTAGTAAATCTCCGATTTGTCATCCATTTCTTCTTTAAACTTAAGGTAATCCTAATTAAGATAATTCAATAAGAAATTTAATCCTAATTATTATCTTATAATAAAATAAAAATTTATTTTTAAAGGATAAAATTAATTCAAAATTTTATACAAATCTTAAAGTAATAATAACTTACTTCATAATTTTGAGAAAATGCACCACTTCTATCTAATTGATCGAAGTGTTCTATTTTTTCAGTGACCCATTGCAATAGATGTTCATACTCTCCGTATACGGATAAAAAGGTATCGGATTCTATGCCTTTTGGCTCGGGATACTTGTGAAGGAATTGAGCAACGTACGTCATGATACACTTCTCGTCAGGTTGAGGTACATCTACGTCCTCCGGATCCAAAAGACGAGCTATACCTAATTCATTTTCAGCAACGTCGAAGGCAGTTTCAAGTCGAACCCTGTTTGTCATTTTTCTCATCGCTGGGACATTTACTAAGTTTTTTTTTATAGCATCGATAATACCCAAGAATGCATTTCCATCTCGCCAGCTTTCCCCGAAATCTCGTACCTCTATTCCCAAATCCCTTTTGTTTTTCAAAAACAAGAATATAAGAATATATTGTTGTTAACTATGCTTTATATACTCATATACTCATAATAAATTATATAAATTTTATACTAACTTTGGTAAGGCATTGGTAACCCATTGTAATAAAGTTTTGCGAGCTCCCTGCTTCCACTTCTCGCTATTATGGCGTCTCCTCTCGCTTGCCGCTGATCCCTGAGTTCCAATACTTTCAAGACTACTTTGACTACCCCATGTATGGCCGAGGTATTCTAAAGCTCGAGCATTTTCTTCAATCTAAAATATAGCTATTATTAGTCTCGCTCCAATTGTTTAAAAAAAAAAATTACATTAAAACATTTTATTTTTATCACTGAATGTGCGCTGATTCACAAAATTTACCAAATCATGCAATTAACAGTATGTATATAAAGGTACAACATATATTACGTTTGTATTTTCAGTGTACTTAGGTCTTACGTGTATATGTACAGGATTACTCGTCCTACAGCAATCCTTCGTTCGTAACTTGTTTTTTTTTTGAAATATACAGGGTTAATGGTGTTAGTAGATAATTACAAATAAATCGATAATCCTTGAAAAGTTTTTTAATAATAATGTTTGTTAAGATTATAATTAGCTATGCTCTTTAAATTATGTTAAATTTTATTTAAATTTTAATTTGATTTAATTAGATAATAGATTTCAATGAGTAGTAGAAATTTCTAAGAGGAAGAAATTATATTTTAAAAACAGATTGCATGTATATCGAGAAAACATTAATATAATGAGAAAAATTTTTGATACTTAATAAGCAACGATTTACTAAACATGAAATAAATTTATATAATCTCTATCGTAAAAAGGTAAAAAGTGTTAAATAAATTTTAATTAATTAATTTGATTTATTAATACATATGTATGAACAAGTATATATAAGCATTAAATAAATAAAATTAACTCATTTTAAGATATTAAAAACAATTCTTTTTCTGATTTTATTATGTTCATAAATATTATATACAGAATAATGCATATCTCCTAATAATAGTTTACTATTATAGAATAACTATAATTGATTTTATTAACAATATTATCAAAGCTTTCGTTAAATTAATTATTTACAATTTTGCAATAGTCTAAATGATTTATCCATATGAGATTAAGATAGAAATCACTTGACATTTACACATAACTGCTTGTACTTAAATTAGTTTTTTTATCACATTGTATAAGTTATTTAAGATTATCAAAGTATATTGCCATTTTTCACAAATCATTGTAAAAATAATTTAAAATATTAAATACTGAATAGCAAGCAGCAGTAATGTAAAAGTTTATTTACTTATTTTGAATCTATTTTTATTGATTACAAACAATTTCATTCGATTTAATATTAAAGTTGAATAAAAATATGATAAAATAATATTTTACTTTAATCGATTTTTATCCAAAAATTAACATTTATTAGACGTATCCTACTATTATATACTATAGTTTGTGATTTCCGATATTATAAGTATCCAATAAATTTTGTACAACTTTATGATAAAGTTTTTGATATAATAATGGCATTTTAATCAAATATTTCTGTATTCATTTTAAATAGTCGAAGATATAATTTTAATAATATTTGCTTATCTTTAACACGGTAACAATCGAGCAATAAGCATTTATCGAACTAGCATATTAAATTCATAGTAATGATTTCAAATAATATCTACTGCATATGAAATAAGTTCATGAACTAACTATTTCATGTAAATTTGTAAAAAGAACATAAATATAATATAAAACGAAAAATAAATACTTTTAAATAATTAAATTCAAATTGCATTTCAAACATTAAATGTTCGAATATTTTTCTATTCCTAAGCTTCACTTTACGTAATTATAACAAAATAAAATGAAACTTTTTTTCTCAATAACATAAGTTTCAACTGCACACTAATTAATTTAACGTCTACGTGTATTATGTGCTAAACTACCAAGCGACTAACTTAAACCAACGGCTATATTCAATTTAAGTTTGACTGCATTGAAATATATTAAAAAATATTTATAATTAATTAATTTTTTTACAACCATATTTACCTGAAAATATAAAATAATAGTCCAAATCAAACCCAAGACTACAGGTGGTCGCCCGTCAACCAAGTCAGAAGAATTGATATTTACTAATTTGATCTATAACAAAAATTTTAAATTAAATTTTTATATTAATAATTAAATAAATCTTAAATTGTATTTATTAAGCAGTAAACAATAAGATAATAGTTAACTAACTTTTTTACTCTGCAAAAATTGAAGTGCTGTATTCACGTTGCTTAAAAAGTGAGGTCTTTTTAAATTACGGCCTTTTTCCACTGCCTGAAAATAATTAAATAGGAATTATGTTAGAAAAAGAAAATTAATTTAAATAATTCAAATAATAATAATTGAATGCAGTATTTACTAATTTTTCTCCGGATAATACTTCTAATAAGGCAAGCAGCAGTGTTCCATCCTTTAAATCATCTATCAAATCATTGACTCGAAGGGGCGGAATACGCTAAAATAAATGCATTATGATAAAAAAAAAATAAAAAAAATTAGTGGTACACAAAATAATAAAGTTTAATAAATAATTTAAAGTTTTAAATACTTTTATTATAAATAATCAGTCATTATTATTCAATGTATTTAGCATTATACTAAGCCTATGGTTACTGCCAAATCTAACAATACATATCAACGAGTATTTCATAATTTATGGATTATTAAATTTAATTAAATAATTGTTTAAGACATTATTTTGATTAAGAAAAAATATTTCTACAATATTTACTATGTTTTTTACATAATGGAATAACATTAATTTTAATTATAAATATTAATTTTATATATTTAACGTTAAGAATAATACTTTTTTTTTCTTGAGTAATTTAAGGAAATGAAATAAAATAATAATTTAATAATTCCTAAGTACAGTATTGTTATCGATTAAATTCGTATTAAAAAATTCCTTATTCTCATGCTTGAAAAATACTTATTTTCTTTACTAAAAATGATAACTGTGAGTTACATTTAAAATAATTGTACGATCATTTTAATTACAAATGATAATTTACAGATTTAATGTAGACGATTAAAGGAACTATGAAATTACATAAAATTTTAATTTCTATTATTCTAAAGAAATAAAATTAAATATAACGGATAATATATAACTATAACTACATTCATTAAATATGTAATATAACAATTTTTTATTTAGTTTTTTTTTTTTTTTTTTTTTTTTTTATGTAATAATATTTGAACAATATTATAGGATTATCGGATAAAGGGTTCATTAAATTTATGCAAAGACTTAGGTGCAAAAAAAGTTTCAAAATTCGAAGAAAATATGAATTACTATATTTTCAAAAGCAAATTGGTATAATTAAATCATTTTATTAAAAAATTTAAAAGAAAATTTTTTGATCTACATATATTGTATTTAATAATTCAAGAATTTCATAATTATGAAACATATTATAATTTTTGTTGGGAAAAGTATAATTGTATTATTAATGAATAAGAAAATAAAAAAAAAATATATTAATTGCAATTAAATATTTAACAAGCTTTGAATATTCAAGTGATTTATTATTTGAATTAAAAATTTTTTAGATTTTTTTTTATTTACAGAGATACATTGCATAAAAAAATGTTCCGTATATTTTTATACTAAGTTCTTGTTTATTTATTTCCATCCTTATATCCATTATTATAATATATAAATATCATATTTTTTTTTTCTATTTTTTTCTTCTTCTAAACAATATTAATAAAATAATTATTTTTACTTTTTAATATCTTAATATTAAAATAAATAGAATTCATCTTTTACTTTCAACTGTTTAAAATTAATATACATACATTATTTTATGCAAAGTATTTATGAATCGTAAATAAATTAAGTATACAAATTAATAAACAGAAGAATTTTATTATTCTTTCTTTTAAATATCACGTAAGTTTAATGTAATTTTTAAACTTGCGTTTTTATAGTTTCATTAAACATAAATTAAATGATTTACTTAAAATATTTAAAAAAATCAAACAAGTACTAGTCAGGAATGTATTTCCCTATATAAAATTGACAACTGCTTAGGAAAAATTTAAATGCTCATTAAACATTTTTTTAATCATAATTCTCTGTATGTTTCTATATGCTGTTTCAATGAGTTTAGTTTTGTATAATCTGAAAGGAGGGAAATTACGATCATAAAAGGAGGAGAGCAAAGTACGGAAAATCATGTAGAAAGTCAGCTACTAATTACAATCTCAGTTACGTTCTCGAACTAATAACTTTGCGATTTTGAACGTAGTTTTCCTGTGACGTCCCGTCGAATATGCTACATCTATGCTATGATTATGGAACACGAAGATTATAAAAGGATATGAGAAGGAAATTGAGCTTATACAATCAATGCATTAAAAAGTTTTGTCAGTTATTATGACTCGACCTACCTTTCGGCAGATTATTTGCGGCATCACAAGTTCAAAGTTTGAAAAGCAAACTCGTGAGCGCCTCTCATTAATCAATTCAATAGTGTAATGGTTCTGTTATACACACGCACGCACGCACGCACGCACGCACGCACACAGACAGACAACACACACAGGCAGGCACGCACGCGCGCGCGCGCACACTGTGTTTCATACTTGCGATTTCAATTTTTTGTTGTAAAAATTAAGTATAAAGTAAATTATTTCGTTTTATATAAATATTTTTCTTTTATTAATCAAGTTTTAATGGATTATTATATTACTTTATTTTTTTGTTTCACTTGTAATTTTTAACATTGTAAGCACAATCCACGAAGAGTTCAAGAACTTTAATGCATAACACTACCTCTAAATTAGATAATAACTAATATGATTATAAAATACAATGATTATAAAATATTTTCTTATATATATATATATATATATATATAGTATATATTATTAATAGTCACTAGATTGACTTTTAATTTGGTGTAAAAATTAATTAGATAGAAATGTATTATCAACTGTGAACTACTTAATATGTATGTTTTTAAAAATTTACATTTGCTATAAAGTAATTTGGCAATTCGGGTAATGATACTTTTTTTTTAAATATTACAATTAAAAAATATTTGCTAACGTTTTATTAAAAAAAAAGAAGAAATTTCTCGCGTTGTGAATACTAAGGTATTTTAGAATAATCGGCTAAACTAGGAAGCCATTTACATCGATTTGAAAGATTACATTGTTTCTTTTAAAGAATAGTAGACATTGACAACGAAATTAATTCTATTAATCTAATTGAATTCTATTAATTCTATTAATAATTGTATTAAATACAATTTTATAATTCTAACAATTAATTACGTTCTTATCAATTTACAGTCTATTTTAAAAGAATTTTATATTTTCAATTGTCCATGGAAATATTTAGATATTAATTATTTCAAAGTTCATTTTGTTTAGAGTATAGCATTAATGCGATATATGAGTCATCGTTTAAAATGGATTTAATACTACTAATGTAAATATATTATTTTTAAAATATTTTCTCAATAGGTTATATGAAATTACAGTATTTGAAATTATAATATTCACCTTAGATAGGCATGAATTAATCCAATTGATAAAAGTTTTCTTTTGTACACGTTCTTGTTCATCTGAAATATAGAATATGTAAAGATTAATAATTATTTCTGTTTATCATACTTTGATTATTAAGAATTATAAAAACTATGATAATTAAATAAGTAAATTATAATATTGAATACACATTTATAATAGTCACAATACTGATTATTAATTTATAGTGTGTAAATAGGATAAATAGAAATTTATTATTAAGCCTGAATTACTGAATATGTTTTATTTTAAACGCTTTAATTTGTTTTAAGGCAATTTGTAAAGATCTTAAAATGAAAATAATATATGCATATATTAAATAATATAAACTCCATTATTATACCTTAAAAATAGAATTTATTTGACCATGACTATTAATGTTAAAATCACATTAAATATTTTATAATTGAATGCATTTATTATTGTTTATTTTAACGAGGCATTGCTCAGAACATGTATTTTTATTTATTTTATGATTTACATTTTTGTCTCATTACATATACGTTTCAAATTTATCAAATATCATCTTATATTTTTAAAAAATTTTTTAAATTTTTAAAAATAAAAGGCACTATTCGTACAGTAATTGGAAAAGAGCAAAGAAGTAACTAGCAAGTTAAGTTAAGTTATTAGTCTTAATATTTGACATTGAGTATAAGCCTATTGTTTACTCTCTGTCATTCTTTTTAATGCTTGCATTTTCACACACGCGCACACACGCACACAAGTTGGTTAAATCCAATGTTTTTAGTTTCTAATAAAATTTTCAAGGTCAATGTCGCCGTATTAACAATCTCTTAATTTATTTGATCTTATAATTTATGATCACGAAATAAGGTAATTACTATTTGTTTTCTTATATTATATTATAATTATCATTTAATATTCATGTACTTATGTAGGAAACGTGTATGTCAAGGCAAGGATAAAAGTGCGAAAACAAATTTATTGCGGAGAAAACAAATAATTAGACATATATAAAATAAAATATATACTGATATTTTATTTAACATCTTATGACTATGATAAACCTTGGATAAATGTGATTGCTTTTACTTTGTGCTAATTAATGTTTAATAATATTTGCGACTATATTGTTATTTATAATTTATATAAAATTTATAATGCACCGTTTAAGAAGCAACTCCTAATGTGTTAAAAAAAAAAAACACTTTAGTTCTATTTCATTTTAATAAATTTAGATTTTTAATATTAACTTTTATTTTTTTAATTTTTATCATCAAAACTAGTTGTCAAATACATTTCTGAAATATTTATTTTCACGGGCATGATTCGGTTGCCCTTCATCTACATACAAGTTTCCTGTAAACGTATGCATACATATATATATATATATATATATATATATATATATATATATATCATGATTGTATATGATTATAATATGTTTAGTATGTAAATCATGTATAATTAAATATAAAATGTTGTTACTATTTTTATGAAATACTCGATGCATTTATTAATTTTTAGTATTCTTAATGAACCGTTTTTATTTAATAGCACATAAACATGAAGTAGCTACATAAAGATCTAATGTCGAAAACTATTAACGCGCGTTTCCGATTTCCCTCAAATTTATCACGTCTAAAGACTTGCTTTTAAAGATTAACTTAGGGCATACATGCAACATCACTCCGCAAAGTCTAAGTACTTTACACATGCCGAATAATAATGCACTGTCTACAATACTTACTTTCACTTTGCCTTCATATACTAACACAGTAATAATATGTATAATTTTTCAATACTATTATGTAAATATTTATATTTATACAATTTGAAACCACATCACAATTACTGTTCTATAGATTGAACGTATATTTTTATAGATGTAAGTTGTATTTTTTCCATTTGTTTGGAAAAAAATATAAATATAAAAAAAATAAATAATATTTATGAATATTATTATCCATATTTATTTATTTTCATATAATTCACAAGATTATATTAGTTTTTAAAGCATCTCCATTCTCAATATTTTCTCCATTGATAACGAGAAACAACTACTGCATTTAAGTTGCAATCAAAACTAAAATGTATTTCTTATTAATAATAATCTTATTAGTAATAATATTTAAATTTTAGTATGCATTTACAATATTTAATTGCATGGTACATTTTTATTTCATACATAAAATAATTTTATTTACAATTTAAGTTTTATAATATGATCGTGAAATTAATTTTAACGATAAAGTATAAATAATGTTAATTAAATGTCAATAAGATTAGCATGTATATTGTGATGTATATTGATAAGATGTATATTGTGATGTTTATTAACAAAATATCTGAAGATTAAAATTAAAAACTTTAATTCTTAGATAAATATCAGAATATCAGAAAATATCAGAATAGTTGAAGAACTAATTTCATTACTTTGGCAGTAAGTCGACGAGTTTTGATAAGGCTTCCCATAAAGAATCCAATTAAGAAATTCTAAGCCAAAAACAATATTCAATAACCAATCGTTATTTTGTTTTCTTTCTCAATTGTTGTCTTTGTTAATATTGAGACGTATTTAATACTGAATTAAATTTATTATTGTTGTTTTTCTAATACTTTTCATAAGCTTTTAAATAATTAAAAAAATACCTTCTGCACTATTAATAAACGTGAACTGTCTATGCATTATTTTTAAAAATCCAACAATTAATTATAAATTTTTATTATTATATGTATATATGATTAAGAAAATTTTAATTATTTTAAAGCTTATTATCTTAGATAGGATTTGACATGAATTTGAGTTTCACATTAGCTGTATGTAAACCTAAATAATTTTTGTTTTTTTAAATAGTTCATTTATTTCCAGTGCATCATTTAAATGATAAAATAATTAGACAAAACGAAAAATTTATAATAGATAAATCATTTTACTGTCTTTATATTACTATTTTCTCATATAATATTTCTACGTAGTTTAACGTAACATTAAATTTCATTGTTACGAAAAGAATAATATTGAACATGGATATTTATTTATAAATCAATTAATAAAGTATGACAATTATTATAAATGTTACGACAAGTGGTTATTGGTATAAAAAAATGTTGTCCAAAAAGCCAAGTTTATTTTACAATAAACAAATAGTGAAAATGAAAAAGAAAAACAAGAATAAAAATGCTGTACATTAGAATACGTAAATTATTTTTATAAAATTTTGAAATATTCATATTTGAAGATAAATGTTGTTAATTAACTTACAAACTTTATACGTTTATGAAAAATATATGAAATATATTAAAAAAAAATTTTATTTTTCTTAACAATCGTCTACATTTCGAACAAAAATTTTATTTTCGTTTAATTACACTTAATGTGTCGATTTGTGAAAAATAATTTTTCAACTATTTAAAACAGCTGCACAATTTTCATGGAGAATATCAAGTAAAATAATAAAGTATTTATTATTTTAAATACTTTACTTTTCTTTTTCTTTTTTTTTTTTTTTTTTTTTGTAATACGCAAAAAACCATAGTTATTAATGAATTCTGAATTAATGAACAGCTGAATCAAAGTTACTGGCAAGTCAGTATTCGCTTTCTTTTGCCAATCTATCACACCGTATTATCGTTTTTACATTCGGTAACAGATTATAATAGGGACTTACGAAAAAATTCGTTAACAACATTCTTCCACTCGCTCATGGAGTTAGTCTACAGGAATGTCTCACTTAATAATTTTCCTCCCTTGTGCCAAGGAAAGATCCAGAGGAAGCCACGAAGGATTCGTCGATACAGACTGGAGCGTCGTCCGATAGAATGGAAGGAGAGAACGCAGTAAATTCTAATATAAGGCCTTGTTTGTTCGTAATCCTTTCAAGCGTTACAGCCCCACGGTGGATAAGGTGCACCACAGACTGAATTCTCCAATTGGACCCGAATCACGTAAGAACCTATCGGGTTACCCAGCGATTCTAACGTCGCGACTCGGCAGATTGAGCATCGACGGGGCAACGCGACATAAATGCATGTGTGCGTGTGTGCGTGTGTGCGTGTGTGCGAGGCAAACGCGCACAGGTACGTCGATGCCTTTAGAAGCAAAACGAGATTAACGGGTAGTTGACCGAGGTGAGCCGATACCGATGCTGCTTTACTTTTTTTTTTATATATCGTTGTTATAGGAGAGTATAATAAATACCGTACCTTCGCGAGATATCCTATTTCTAATAACTTGCTAGTGTTTGTAAATAAAATAATCAATAAAATTTTATGCCAATTTTTACATTGTCATTGATATACGCTTTAAAATTGCATAATAAATAAATTTCGATAGATAGATTTGTGACTTTATATGTTGAAAGATTGCAATGAAGAAAGCTTGATAATAAAGATAGCTTTATAATAAAATATTTCCTAAATTTTATTTAAACGGTATATTATACTTTAATTTTACAATTTAATATTCTAAATATTAGTTTTTATCTAATAAAAATTATAATCGTGAAAAATAAGAGCTCCAATAAATTTGGAGTTTTATTTAGATAAAACAAATAGAATATGTATTTTCAGTTATGTAATTACACTTGACGGATACTTAAAGCTTATTTTACGAGTAAATTAATTTCAAATGTGCGCCTTATAACGCATTTTAAATTTCTTTTATATGATAGAAAAGAAAATTTGCTGATTCTTATTAATTAATAACTTGATTATAAGCGAAATAAATCTTTTATTAATTAATATAAATTTGGTAGCAGTAGAAAATTTTACCTTATGAAATAATTTAGTCATACTTATTAAAGACACTACATATTTTAATTTTAAAATTAAATATATATTTATGAAAATGATAAGATCGCTAATTTTATTGCATTAGCTGATTAAAAGTTGCAAAAGTACATTATATCAAATTACATTTTAATTCGCATCAGTAAAAAATCAACGTCAATATAATTTCAAATAATAATAAATTTATTATTATTTTAAATATTTTACATACTTTAAAACGATATTTTTTATATTAAAATAGCATATGATACTTTGTACATTCAATACTATTGCGAAAAAATAA